CTCAGGCGCTCTTCTTTCCCTCGATCTCTGGACCCTCAGTTCTTCCTGTTTGTAACGGGTCTCAAAACTTAATTTAAGAGCCTTGTAAAAGGCGCCAAAACTGGCTGATTCCGGATTAATCGGGCCCGCTTTCCGGGCACGGGCATTTGGCCGGCCGGCTTTTTTTCATTATTTTTATTCGAATGGGGGTTCATTTCGAATTATTTTCCCGACTCCGGTTTTAACACCCCTTCTCGTTCTGCCAGTGGAATGCGGAATAAAAATTTTTGGAGCGGCCAAAGTTTTGAAATTTTGGGGCTTTTCACTTTTTTTGACCTTTTGAATGGCGGGATGGAGTTAAAAGTCAAACTGAGACTTTCTCCTGGGTCCTGCTAATCGATCAGCTAAAAATTGCATATGCTTTGGTAAATTTCGGCTTATATTTGGACAAATTTTATCAAAATCCAAGAAATTTGTTTTGCTGAATTTTCTGCAAGTTTTTTTGCAAAGCTTATTTTCGGTCATGTTTTCGCCAACTCCTCATCATTTCTCTCAATTTTTACTAAAACACAACTTTCCTTTCCCATCCCTCTGATTAGAGCCTAAAATCCTGTATCTTCCACCTTCCGAGCCTTTCTAATCCCCTCCCAAATATAGAAATTCGTCCGTTTCCCCCCTCTCACATGCTCCTTGCTCCCAATTAGCACGTGCCGAATATTTCGAACAACTCTGGAAGCGCCTTTTCAGCTATTCCTGCGGCTGTTGACCCTTTGCTTAGCTGAACTTTTCCCCATTTCTCAGCCGCTTTTTTGCAGGGAAATACCAGAAATTGGCGAAACGGGGACGGATTCTGCCAATTTGCCTGGAAACACCAGATGTTTCGAGCCGATTTCTGGTCGGAATTCCGCATAAATTTGAGGGAAAACGAATTCCAGAAATTAAAATGGCATGATCCTTGACTCCCATGCACTTTTCCACATGCAATTTTGCTGTGGATTTAAATTGTAAAAAAAGGGCAAAAAATTAGCTTATTCAGTCATTTACGGCGAAAAAAGAGTAAAAATTAAATTTCCAATTATTTTAAAGGAAGCTTAGAACCAAAAATATTTTTGAAATGTTTTTTTGGAGGACGTTGTACAGATGTTCAAAGAGATATAGTCAGAAAAGTTTGTTCTCTGACCGTCTCTCTTCATCCCGTGGTCTTTCTGGGATGAAGAACTAAAATTTTTCATGCTGATTTTTTTGACCGAAATTTGAACGCGATTAGAAAATTTGCAAATTTTTCAGTTTCCTCAATATTTATAGGCCAAAAATCTGCCCTACAATTTCAAAAGATCACCTTTTTGAAGCTGAAACCTTGCTCTCACCGATGCCTAGGTTCTCTTAAAATACTCTTTACGTCCTTTTCCAAGCGAAACCCCCAATTTTCACGGCACTTTCCCTGCGGTCTTCCTGAAATTGTAGCCTGAAACGAGAAGATTCGTTCCCTTCTGTTTGTGCAAGGGTTTCACAAATTATTTGCCCGACTTCCTTCTTTGTCTATTTAATCTCCCGTGTTCTGGAGGGGGCTCCTTAAAAATCTCGTTTCGAAAAGATCTCTAAAAAGAAATGTTTTTTTTTGATTTTTCGGGCCAGAAACCTGGCCTTTTATTCCAGCGGATATCTGAGGGAAATCTGATCATGGTGGGGGCGATTTCTCTCTGTTTGAGAAATCCCAGCTGGGACTTGAGGGATTTGGAGCTGTGGGAACCAAAAGTTTGGAGTTCGTTTCAGTTTGGCGCTGCAAATTTGGCCAAGTTTTGACGTGAATTTGAACAAATATTTGGATGATCTTTGGGATTTTAATATTCACCACATTTCGGGGGCAAATTTGAAACTATCTTTTTGGGTTGTAGAGCAGGCTTTCCTACAAAAAAAATCATCTTTTTCCACGCGAGATCCAAAAAAATTACCAAAAAAATTTCCAGCCGTATCTTCTAATTTTTCGTACCTGATTTCTTATCTTTATGTTGGAAACTTTTACCCACTACTGTTTGAACCCTTACTTTACAATTTCCCTCATATTTTTTTACTCCATTACACTTTTCAAACACATTTTTGACATACTTTACATCGACTAAAACCCCATTTCAATGCTAAGCCGTTCTCCCTCAAATCTTATCCACTTATGTTTCCTTTCCTTTTAAATAATTTGTCATCAGATTATCCATGACGTGAAGTTCAGAAAATTAACTGGAAACATGTCTGCGGTAGTGTTGTTGTACTCCTTCTTTCATGCCTAATTATTGGTTTCTTTTTCGAGAATTCGAAAGAACCCGGAATTTAGGGAGAATTTTAAAAAGAATTCAAACTTTGTAGGAGCTATTTTGAGGGTTTATTTTTATTCTATAGGCGCTTTTCAATCGATTTTAATACACAGTTCAGCAAAAATCAAAAAAAAAGTTTTATGTATAACATGTTTTTTTGCTCATAATAGCCATTAAGGTCAATTTTGGCTCTAGTTTTAGTTTTGTGACAGATTTTATAGACCATACACCATCCATTCATACGTGAGTTAGCTATTTACAATTTCCAAGAGAATGCTACAAAATGAAAAAATCGTTTTTGCAATTCTGTTACACATTTCATAGACCTCGCGGCCTTTATGGGCACCTATATCAGCCATGTAAATATAGCAAGTTTTAAAAATTAACAATCTGCCATAAATGTATGTATAGGTTTAAATCTTTTTTTTTTTGAAATAACATGACTTATTTCGAGCGCTCTTTCGTTATTTTCAGTCAATTCTAGTCAAAATACACTTGATTGTCTACAACAATCTCATCATTCCGGAACTAATTTTCTCTTATTACCCCTTCTTTTCCACCCTCTTTTAGCCCAACTTTTTGCGTCTAATGTGTTGCCCAAACGCGACCAGCGGCAAGGAAATATTAAGTACTTCCTAATTTCCCCTCCGGCCTTCTCGCTTTCCGTTGGAAGGGGCCCCGCGGGCGCGCCGAGTCTAAAATTAAAATGTAAAAAGAACGCGGAGCCAGAGATTTCTCGGACAACATTTTCAAATTCCCATTTTTCGGCCGCACGTGTCCCTTCGCTCCCTGCCCTCCTCTTCGCCTCTCACATATTGCCGCAGGGGTTTTTGCACACGGATTTATGGCCCTTGATTATGATCCCCCTTCAGGGCGACTTTGCATTTTTAAGCGAATATTTAAATGAGACATGGAGACGGAAAAAGGCCCTCGGGGCAAGAAAGGAAGCGTTCCTGGAAATTGTTTTTTGCGGATTAATCTCATTGCGACATTGGCATCATCGTGCTTTGTTATGTAATTTTGCTTTACATAATTCTTGGCAATCTTGCTCACAAATTTGCATATTTTGATATATTGTTTCCAAAAGAAATTTAATGAAAATAAAAAAAGTTTTTTCACAGTTTTTATCTGGATTTTAAAGTACGTAGCCATTGCAATCTGAGATTATAATTTTAAAACATCTGCATATTCAACTTTAATCTTTTAAAGAAAATTTGTTTTTGCAAACAATTTATGATTGAAAGTTGTAAAATACGACGATCTCCCCCCCCCCACCAAAATTTTAAAATTTTCAACATTTGCACATTCAAATTTAATTTTTACAAAACTTCGCTTGCTGATTCAAAAGGTTCCTCGACGAGTTTTCCTTCCACACCTTCCCCGTGCCTATCCCCAACTTTATGATTTAAATAACCGCTCCCCGACTCTTCTTTTATAAAGTACATCACGTGTCTCTTTTCAGTTTACAAACATCCCGCCACTATCGCCTTCTCTTTAACCAGTTTCAGTCAAAAAAGCGAGAGGTTCAGACCTTTTTTGGGGCGTCATGGGTCATCGATCCCGCTTTTTTGGCCTGCAATTTCGATAATTTATCATGGTATATTTGTTCAATTTGAATTTTTTTACGGTTTTTGGGGAATTCATGTTTTTTGAGGTGTTTTTTTGGCTTTGAAATTATTTTAAATTTGAATATTTCTGGTCTGAAAACATTTTTGGGTGCAAAAAATATTAATTCAGTCATCGTTTTCCAAATATTTACAAAAAAAATTTTTTGTTTTAAAGTTTATTTTTTGTTGATTTTAGCTAATTTACAGACTGTTTTCAGCCTACAAATAGTCCATCTATTAATTTTCTGGCTCTAAAATCAAGTTTAAATAGCATTTTCATCAAAAAATTTGCTTTCCAATATTCTTCATGACCTTTTTCACTCCTATTTTTTTTGATACTTTAACCCCATCCCCAACTCTTGCGTGTTATTTTCCCGCATCGTGCCGGTCCCATCCATCGGTTATTTTAATTGTTTTCAGCCGCGAAACATTGCCTCCAATCTTTGCGGGCTTTTAATTCCCGGTGTTTTCGACTTGTTTTTGATCGGAGAACTGTACAAATAAGGGCAAAAGAAGCGAGAGGAAGGAAAAGTAAGTGTGTTGTCAAGACCGCTAGGTGTGTGGGGCTGTGGTGAGCGGGCAGTGTAAATAATAAAAGGCGTTTAATCATTGTAAAACTTGAGATGACATTCTTTTTGGGCTCGGGTTTCGTTTTAAAAATAGAACTTTTTTTATTTTCCAATGGTATTTTAGACTTCCAGAATGTGTTTGGAAATAATTTTAAGGGCATTTGAAATAATTTATATGGCATTTTGGCCAATTTTTTTATGTTACCTTTTGAATGGTATATTAGGGAAAAAATGTCATTTATTGAGCCGGCGTAAAAAATCTTGTCACAAAATTTAGATTAAGGCGCTCTAAAAAGAATTAATTTTCAAAAAACTCATTTAATTGAATATTTTTGATCCAAATTTTCATAAGTAATCTGAAATCTTTAATTATTTTTTTTCGAAAAATCTTGGAAAAAATGTGACAGACAAAAATTAGAAAAAAATTATTTTTGAATATTCAAATCTTCTCCCTAAAATTTCCGTAAATCTTTGCAAATTTTAATCAAGTTTTTTGCAGCGCCCCTTTTCTGAGCCCGCTTCACATCCACCATCCCAAAATGTCGCAACCGCCGCGCAAATTCAGCGACAAGATCGCGATGTTAATAAACAAGCAAACGGAAGAAGAGGAGCAATTCAATCGAGTCATGAAGGACGTTCGGCCCATCACTGCCTCAACCCCCGGCAAATCGCCCAACTCGACGCCTTCCTCGACTCCATATGCCTGTTCCCCCACCGGCACCAACCCCAACATGATCCCGACCCCGGCCACCGAGAGTCCGGGCCCCGATTACCTCCAACTTCATCCGCTTTCCATGGCGTGGCAACGTCAAGGCGGCTCTTTGCCTAATGTTCATGCCATGCTACAACCAAACATGAACCCCAACATACCTCAGCAACAGCCGGATATGTACACGAATTGGGCGTATTGGCAGCAGCAGACGAGTGGAGCACATCAAGGTGCATATGGGCATGTGAGGACGAGGTCGCCCGGCGCCCAACACTATCATCCGTACAGAGGAAGCCCTAAGGGCAATGAGAGGGTGCCGCCGTTGGAGAATCATATGATTAACAGCGGGCAAATGCATCTTCAGCCACCTGATCCAAACTGGTCAAAGTGAGATTTTACGATTTTTTTTATTTTAAGTTTAGGAAGAACTTGTAAAATATGTATGATAGTAAGCTTGTTTATAAAATTTTTATTTAAAATATAGGAGAAAATTCGCCAAAATCGATGTTTTGTCCATTCTTTGGCTTGTTGTTTATGAGGATTAGCAAACTTTGAATCGAAGACTACTTTTTGAGCCAAACCTCGCCCATTACTAATACTGATAAGGGTTAAACAGTCTCAAGACGGAGTAGTTGCGTCATTAGGTCAATTCGGGGATATTACTTTAGATAACAACCAAAATTATTGTTTAAAACACATAAAATTGACGCGGGGAGCTGGAAATTGCTTTCGGAAATGAATGAAAGTGTGTAAAATTATGGTAACTTGATAATATGCAGTAAATTTTTTGAAAATAAGGGATGAATTACACTGCAAACTTTTTCGAACAAGTCTAATGCAACTGTTTAGCTCCCGCGCCCGCTCCGACCCCGCCATTCACATGAACACGATCAATTCGATGCCCTTCTACAATCAGCCCGCCCCTCAGTGGAAACCGGACCCTCGGTTGAACGGGTACCCTCAACAAAACGGCCATCAAAACGGCTCCCCAATGCAGAGTCCCCAAACTCCCCATCCCAGTCAGATCCCGCAACAACAAGGCTATTATGGGCCGGGGAGTGTGGGCTCAATCAACATGAGCATGTCCCCGCCCGCCTACCCCATGCATTCCTCGCCCCAGCAACCCTGCACACCGGACCAAGTGCCCTGCGGGTCGTTGCCGAATATGCATTCGCCGGTGATGACCTCGCCCATGAACTCGCCTATGATGAATTGTCAACCCTCCTCGCCACAGCATCAACAACTGCAAGGGCAGAATTCGGTGCCTGTCCAGAATGGGCCAATGGGAAATCAGGGAATGAACATGGGCCAGAACTCGACGATGGGCCAGAACATGAGCCAAAACGCATCAATGAACCAGAATATGAACCATAATCAACAAATGAACCAGAATCAGCATCAAAATCAGCAGATGAGCCAGAACCAGCAGATGAATCAAAACCAGCAGATGAATCAAAATCAGCATCAGAATCAGCAAGTCCATCCGCAGCATCAGAAGGTTCAACAACAACAGAAGCCGCTGCAACAACAATTCAGCTACGACCAAGTCCAACACAACATGATGAACTACCCATACGCGATGCAGAACGGCCAATTGGCGACGCCTCAAGGACAGGGCGGAGAGAGTTCGCAGAGCGCCCCCACATCGCCCGCCCAATCGCTGGAGAACCCGATGCAACCTCATTGGCCACCAACTAGGCATTTCAGTGCGTCTCCGGACACCATGGACATTCCCAATATTGTGCTGACCGGCGCTGACGGAACTCTGGATTGCTTCCAGGTAAGATGGGGACCGCTTACACTTACGTAGGTCCGAAATTATCCATGATGACTTTTCCTTTTTTGCATTAACGAGGAGAAAAATGAAGTTGTAACAGCGTACTATAGCCATATTCGAGTTGAATTTGACTGAAAAAGTATTTGTATTTGTAAATACAGTAGCTGCCAAAAAACTGTCAATTTTTTTGTTTTTCGTGTAACTCTGCTCAACGTGGGCGGATTTAAACGAAACAAACACCATTCTGTAGAGAATTATTGATGTTATCTAATGGTGTAGCGATTGGAGCGATTTCACATCTTAGAGTGTAACAACTGTCGATGTAAAATTTTTGGAAAGACAAAAAACTGTCAATTTTTCCAAAAAATTTTACCGCTTGCATACGTCGCGGCAAATCATGGGCCCACACACTCTGATTTTTAAACAAAGTCCCACTGTATATTATTGACCATCCAAGGGAGCCATGAAAATTATTTTAGTAGACCTTTTGGTGGTCCCAAGTTCGATACCCCAAAACATGACGTTTAAGGAAAAATCGGTTTTTTTCTTTGACTTAGCAGTAAGACAATGCTTTGCAGTAGAAGGTAGACAAGCTAAAATTAAAATAGAACAATGATTAGGAGCCGAAGTGTAAGTCTACGGACTCCACTTGACATTCAAGTTTCTCCGGTAATCGAGTTTTTGCAGAGACTTGGCCTTGTTGCCACCGCCTTTGTCTCGACTTGCTAATGTTTTATCAGTACGTGATCACAGATGTTCTGGAAGGATTTTATGGGCGTTTGTAGGACGGTGATGCAGGTTACATAAAAATTACGGAGGGTTATGTTGTCTTTAACAAAATTTTTTTTTTGTGGAAACTTGCAAGCCAGCTTACGACTTTAGAAACACCTCAGAGGGAGTGAAATTGCTTTAGAAATGTCAAGAATGGTTGTAAATCTATGACACAATGTCTTGCTTGTGCTTGCACTGGGTTATTTCTATCCTATGGAGAGTGCAAATCGAGACAACAATTTTTCTTCAAAAATTCCACTTTGTAGCTAGTTTTTTTACGCGCAAAGTGCGGGCCTGCGGCGGTTGCGGTTCTAAACTGTTCACTGTTCACATGGGTGCCTTCTGTCGCGTTAAACCTACGATTAGATGTATCTACGGAAGCACCCGGGCTGAAGTTCCACGGCACATCCACTGCCAGAAAAACTTGAATGTCAAGTGGAGTCCGTAGACTTACAGTTCGGCTCCCAATCATTGTTCTATTTTAATTCTAGCTTGTCTAGCTTCTACTGCAAAGCATTGTCTTACTGCTAAGTCAAAGAAAAAAACCGATTTTTCCTTAAACGTCATGTTTTGGGGTATCGAACTTGGGACCACCAAAAGGTCTACTAAAATAATTTTCATGGCTCCCTTGGATGGTCAATAAAGTACAGTGGGACTTTGTTTAAAATTCAGAGTGTATAGGCCCATGATTTGCCGCGACGTATGCAAGCGGTACAATTTTTTGGAAAAATTGACAGTTTTTTGTCTTTCCAAAAATTTTACATCGATAGTTGTTACACTCTAAGATGTGAAATCGCTCCAATCGCTACACCATTAGATAACAGGGATAATTCTTTACAGAATGGTGTTTGTTTCGTTTAAATGCGTCCATGTTGAGCAGAGTTACATGAAAAACAAAAAAATTGACAGTTTTTTGGCAGCTACTGTATATCTGATACGACTTTCATCAATTTTATATTATTCACGAAGTTTACACCAAAAATAACCATGAAATCAAAGACATTAAAAGGCAATTAAAAGATCCTTTTTGACCAAAAATCAGCCCTATCGCGCTGAGCTCCCGCTGCGTGCTCGCTCCCTACATTTCATGCTCCTGATGGTTTCCTAACGTTAATTTCTTCCGCGTTTTTTTATTGTCTTATACGGCTCACCGTGATAAGCAAAAATCAGCTGCAGTAGGATATAAATGAAAGCACCCATTTTTTTTATATTATCGATGACATTTATGACAAAAATAAAACAGTTCTTCTTCAGGACCTGCGGATTGACAATGAAATGGCTCAATTGTTGAACACTGGTGACCAAATCGATCCTGCCTTCGAAACTCAACTGTTAAACTAAGAACTATATATTAATATTCGTATGTATATTTAACGCAAACCACAACCTCCTTATTATGTAATGAAAACTCAATAATTCATGTACATCACTTAGCGTTTCGTAACTATTTACTCTAACAAAAACTCCATATTGTGAACGAATTTTCCTTCCTTTTTCGGTTTCATTAAAGATTCTTTGACTGATCGGGTTGGATTATTTTAAAGGTAAGTTTTTTTTTTGACAAGGAAAGTTCTCGAAGAGCGACATTCGGATTTTCTTCAAATTTTGTCAGTGATCATATTATTCTATTGTGGCCGAAAATGTCTTTCTCTGACTATCTTTTCTCATTTATCATCGTCGATATCGTTTTATATGTTTGGCTATCCCTCCAGAGTACAGGCAAAAATTTTTAGCATTTCTACAAGTTGCACATCGAAAAATCGATGTATGAGTAATGTAATTAATAGGCAGTAAATTTGAAATAGAGTTTTTCAAAAGCTTATGAACCACCTCAATCTAAAAATCTTGGCTTTTCCAGGGCTAAAAATAGTTGTTAATCAGATTAGTCACGCTTTCCAAGTTCTTTTTTGAGGAAAATTGGATGTTTAGCAAGTAAATGTGATGACTTACCAAATAATTTTCAATTTTTCAAAAAACTTTCAAAACGAAAACGTTCCGATCTGAAGATGGTTCCGAGCTGATATCCTTTCCTTCTCCTTATGATTCCCGCTAGTCTTCTTCGCATCGCGATCGCCTTAATTAATCTCTCAGCTCGCGACCTTTACCTCCTTTTCGCGCGACGTCGAAAACTTTTTCTTCTCCATTCCTTCGATCGAGAGCGAGTTTTGACGACACGTCAAACGCTGAAACCCAGTCTCGATTAAACATTTTTGTGTTAGCTAACGCTTATTTCCATTTTTATTTGTTTGGGGACGTTACAAAGGGCGATAGAGGCGTGGATGGAGCGGAGAAATAAACGCAATTTTCTACTTTCAATCGGCTTTATAAAAATTTTGCAAAAAAATAATAATTTGCGGAGGCCGCTAATAATATTAACTTGGCCATTTCGGTCCTGTTTGTGCCTGAAATTCGTGTTTTATTAGGTAAAACAAGGTCGGAATGGGCTAAAAATTACCCGTATCCCCTTTTAAGGTCCAACCATATTTTTGCCGATTACTGTGCAGGGTCGGAACGGTGAATACAACTTTGCCCTAAGATTCTGCATACGAGTTTTGACGTGGTCAAAAACCATTCCCTAAAGTTTCACATTTGTCTGTGGGGCCCGAGATCTTGAACAATCAGGCAAAAGAATCGGCCGGACAAAATATGCTGTAACCTCTGTAATTACCTCAATATTCCATATCCAGTCATATCGTCCCATATAAGGCTCAAAGTTCATCAAAATTTGCCTCATTCCCCCTCCCTCCTAGCCCTTGCTCAGCCCCATTTCAGCTCTCCTTTTCTCCTCCTTTTTGCCGTACCGGTCATTCCCTTTCACTCCCTCCCTCCTCGCTCTCGCGAATTTGGACGTCTGTGCAAAAATACACTGCTCCACGAAATGATAGACGCACCCTGTTTTTAGTGATTATCTTCCTTGTACTAAATGATATCGAATAATGTTCAACAGATGAAATGTGGCAAATTAAACGAGAATTCATGTCCCGTAGCGATTTTGGAACAAAATTTTGCCTTGACTGAGATATGACATTTTTAGACTTTTTTGGGGTCCACAAAATGATAGACGCAATTAAGTAATTTTTTGTTTATTTAAAAGAATTTTGAGTTAACCTGCTCTTATTACACTTCCTCGTGTTCTCTGTAGTATTAGAAAGGTAATTACATTTATATCCGCCGTACTTCATCGACGCAGCGGCCTTATGAGCCATTTCCGACCTTGTACATGAGGTAAATATTCGGTTTGAAAAAAACTGTAGGTGATTCTGTTTTCTTGGGCGAAAAACTAGCTAATACTATCACATTATACGTGTAGATCTCACTGATGAAAAAAAACGGCTTGCTCAAGGATCCCGAGCATTTTCTTGGCATATCATCTTCAACAACTAGCTACCTTAATACTTTTAGACCCCCGAAATACCAAGGCGATCAAAGAGAATGACAAAATTTAATTTGCAAATTCAAACTGAGCATGCCTGAAAACGTAATGTTTTAATCATCAGCCGTTACAGAATACCTTTAGTCGGTAACGTCGTTCGACAAAAAAAAGTTCACAAAAATAGGCTTGTTTTTACACGTTTATCTTTAATCAATCATCTGTCAATCATCATGACATTTAAGCAGGCAATAAGTTGCGGTTTTAGGTTTGTTAACATGCTGAGTTTGATTTTCTGAGCAAAAAATTGACATCGATAGTAATCTTCTGTACTTTTAGAGCCTTTGAAGGTTACTGTAGAAGGTATACGGTAACTTAATGGTCGATTAAATGACTTCAAGCGAATCGGTATTGGTTTATTTTATGTCTTATATTTGCAACTTGTAATCTATGATGGTTTAAGATGGTTTTTTGGCGAAAGCAAAATCGTTAATCAAATTTTTTTTCAAACGAATTTTTACCCCATGTACAAGGTCGGAAATGGCTCATAAGGCCACTGCGTCGATGAAGTACAGCGGATATAAATGTAATTACCTTTCTAATACGACAGAGAACACGAGGAAGTGTAATAAGAGCAGGTTAACTCAAAATTCTTTTAAATAAACAAAAAATTACTTAATTGCGTCTATCATTTTGTGGACCCCAAAAAAGTCTAAAAATGTCATATCTCAGTCAAGGCAAAATTTTGTTCCAAAATCGCTACGGGACATGAATTCTCGTTTAATTTGCCACATTTCATCTGTTGAACATAATTCGATATCATTTAGTACAAGGAAGATAATCGCTAAAAACAGGGTGCGTCTATCATTTCGTGGAGCAGTGTAGAATGTGCGGGAGAATTGGGGTGCGTAAACAAAAGGACGAATGCGGGATTTTGAGGGATTTCCGGGGACTCGAGATTTATGCAGTCCATTCTCTTGTATTATATTGGACAGAGTTATTGGGGATACGAAAAGGCAAATTCGTTTGATTCATTCGAAATTTACGGGATTGGGAAATTGAACTCCGGTTTTTGGCTGGTATACATTATTTTTGAACATTTATTATACCCATAAAATGAGGATTGGAAACTATCGAACTTTACTTTTTATCGGCTTAACAGCCAAGTTCTTTGATTAAAAAATGAATTATGTAATGTTGTGCAAATAGATGACTGGTCATTTTAGTCGTTTCTGATGCAAGAAAAGGGCTAATATTCGCTTGCAAGGAGCCTGGCACTTATAAATTGGGATTCTTGAGCCTTAAGGGAGGTAAAGGAAATATTGACCATCAACTTTTTCGCTTACCTGTTAGACTTAAAATAGCTTGCCCCTCAATCTTTAATTCTTAACCCCATTTTCTCGTATTTCATTTACAACACTTTGCCATCTCATTACAGCCCTCTCTGCAATTTGGATCCGCCTCTTTGCACAGCTGCGGTTTTCCCGCACTTCTCTTGTCTCCCTCACCCCACCCCGAGTTCTCGCGCTATTTTCGCAAATTCTCGTTTTGCCGGAGGGGTTGGTCCCGCCAAACCCATAGGGCAAAGAATAAGCGCCCTGCTCTTTTTACCCTCGAGAGCGAGAACGAAAAAGAGACGGGGACAACACTTTGTGGAAGGGGAACGAGAGACCGTTTTTCGCCCAAATTTTACACAAAACCCGACGATTCGCAAGGGATATTCTGAGATATCGAGTTGAGTGTAATATGCCAAAATTTGCGGTGTTTTTTTGCTCTATAATCTAAAAAATTCAGGGGGTTTTGCTGCAAATGACGCATATTACACATAATTATTGGAGGTTTTTTCCTGGGCTTTCTTTTCTAATAGTTCCCAAATTTCATTTCTCGAGCGTGTATTTCTAATTTTCTTCGTTCAGTTATATCTAAAATAAGGCCACATCATACGCTAATTATCGCTTATCTTCTACCAATTTTCCGACTTATTTTCAAAAGCCAATTTTGTAAAGCAGTTCCTATGGCCAAAAATAGTGTCCATTCCTTTTTCCGTACCCAGTTATTAATGGAGACTTTATAGTCACACCTGACTTACTCTCCCCGTCCTGTAGCCATAGATACCGGCTCTTCTCGGACCTGAAATAAACATGGCTTGACGTAGTGGGCCGAGATTTTCGCCCGTCGGATAAAAGAGTTAATCCCATTTTTTATAATTTCAAGATTAATGTTTAGTACAATTTAAAATTACTTCTTTGCGAAAACGTAAACATTTCCAGTCGTCTTGAGGACTTTTATATTACTTTGTTCGTTGTAATTAGTTTTATTTTACAATTCTCATATAATTTTTTGTTCCAGATCGCCACCAACAGATCTCAAACCTCTGGCCGTCGAGTGCAACGTAAAAAAGCTTCTCTTCTTGGATTAGTCTCGTGGAAACCACCCCTTTTCCACTGCCATATTCAAATAAGGGCTTTTAAATTTTCGGACCGAATTCGATTAGCCCTAAGGAAACGGAGGAAATGCTCATTTGTTAAGCGGAAAACAATCCAAAAGAATTCGAAATTACTGAAAAAAGTGAGTTTTCGGCTAATAATAATATAAACTATTGTTTAATCCTCTATTACCTACATTTAACTGAATTTTCTCATGGATAACCTAAACTAGTCTTTTTTAATTTTTTTTTCTATTTTCCATTCTTCCTTCTTTTTCAAGAGTAAAGCAAACGATGTAAACAACTTTTTAAAGTGTAATAATTTTAGAATCAAAATGCCTCCTTGCCCGAAATCTCACCTTTCTTCGCTAAATGGTACAGTAAGACCAACGACGATCAAGAAAAAGTATTCAGAATTCGAGGAATTGGCTTTTAGAACTGTTCAGGCGTAAGTTTATCTCAATAAACTATCATTACTTACTTCTTAACAAGAAAATACTCATGATATTGCTTTAGCCTCAATCCCCATCGAAAAATCCATCGGAAAGATGTGAAAATCGACCAAGTCAAGGAAGTGATCCGCCGAGTTTACTACGGTGAAGCCATTTGCCCTTTAGACCGACCATTGCCGAGTCCTGGGAGCGTCTCTTCGACCGCATCGACATCAAGTTCATCTACTTTGAGACATGAAAGTTTGGATGGAAGCGACAATTCTCTCCGGAAATCTGGTCGAAAAGCCTGTCCAAAAAGAGTTCTGTCACCGACTGACACTAGTGAACACAGCTATGACAACTTATCGGAATTAATCTTGAAATCTCTGGACGAGCCCGATTCTTTGGCATCGTTTCGAAGAATCAAAACGGAATGTCGTAAAAGGGCCTGCAAATTCCGAGGAACGGGTGTAAACGTAAGTGTGAAAGTTCGTGGAATTAGTGTTTTAGAATTCAATCTATGAATTTGTCAACTCGGACACGCTTAAAAATGAGATTGACTCAAATATTTCATCGGAAAAAAATATTCAACTATGCGAAGTCAATGCTCTTCTTGAATTGTACAAAATGGAACTGAATTTGGAAGTGATTGATGACGTCAAGGTGAGTATTTTTATCCAAGAATGTTATAGGGCAATTCCTTTTAGTTCCAAAAAAATTTTTTCAGGTGATTGCAAAACTGAGATTTCTGAACGTCCTCACCAGCGACAGCTGTTTCAAAGAATTTGTAATGAACACGCTGGATAAAGCGTAAGTTTACAGTAGTTATTAACATATTTATATTCAAATTAACCTCATCTGCCACAAATGTAAGCCTTCAAAATTCTTGCTTACCATTATATTGTGTTACTAATTTTATTACAATCACAAATCGAAAATCATTTTTTTTTTCGGAACGTGACAAATGCCCCAGGGCAACTGCGATACGGGCTCTTTCACGACACAAAAAAGTGTTGACTGCACCGTGCGAAAAGCGAAGGGGACATACGGAAAGGAAAGCGGAGATTCCTTTTCTGACCCCAAATTTTGATATTTTTACTTTGATATCAATGGGAATTGCGGGGCGGAATCGGGTTTGATTTGCATTTGTCCAGAGGGTTTGACCCGAGAGTTTAAAGAAACGTCTGTGAATTTACTTATAGATTAGTTTTTGGAGCAAGAAATTACGTTTCGGACTGTAAACTAAATTATACAGTATTCTAGGCAGTAATATTGCTATTGAAATCAGTTTTGGATATTACTTTGCCTATGACGCCCTAAGCTCATCTTCTACTCGTAAAATGTAGCCTCCGGTGTTCCCTGACCCACTCGCTTGCCCTGAGGGTCTATCCCGAGAAACGCTGACTAAAATTGCATTTGACACTCTCCTTCTATGAGCTCTTTCCTCCTCATTAGATATTCCCTTGCTTGGGTCGGACGTCTCGCCGCTTCGGAATTGGACTAATTTCCACGTCGAGGATGACGGGTTTTCTGGATGAGGCCGGCCCCCAACCTCCCACTTTTCTTCTCTCGCCCGAACGCATCGAATGGCGGTTTGCGTGCAGTTTTGCGGCTCTATTTTCCGTCGGAAAACGTCTCTTTTCCCGGCCCTCTTCTCTCATCACAAAACTTTTCGTCGGAGCGAAAGCTTTGGGTTTAGGCGCAGAAAAATGAGATTTCCCTATGCCCCAACAGGTTTAAACCAAATTGCACTTAACATAGCGGGTCTATAACACAATCTCCAATCGATAAATTGTTAGAATTCGCCCTCGGTTATGCACTCCCAACCTTATTTTAGCCTGTTTCGACTAGACTTTATTTTTTTTCACCTTTTTATGTCACCGTATTCAATTTTAATCCTAAATCTACAATTCCAGATTTGGGAAGACCCTTCCAGACCAACTACGCAGCATTCGCGTGAGGTTTGGCATTGACATGCCCCCAAATGAGTCCATTTCCTTCAAGAAATCACCCTCACCGCGTGAGAATGTCATCTTCAAGGACAGCCGGATTCTGACCAAGGACCGAACCTCCAAAAGTCCGGTCAAGGAGGCCATCTCAGACACTGAGAACGACGAATTGAATGGCGATTTGGAACAGAAAGTTTGTGTGAAGGAGAATCTGAGGAAAAGAACGAGGAAGTCCACCAGCAGCGAAAGTGTTGAGGATGAAGTTGCGGAAAAGGCAACCCCCAGATCTCCAAAACGGGTAAAACAAGACGTCGAAGATGGTGTGGAAGTACAAACAAGACCTAAAAGACATGTCGAAGAGAAAGAGAAGGCCAAGAAGAAGCCAGAACCAGTAAAAGTTGAGTCTAAAGGCAGCATCGGTAAGATTTTTGGAATTTTTATCCGATTTTAGGTAATGATTAGAAGATAGCTGCCAAAAAATTAAAGCTAGAAGATTCCACAAAGATTAATCGTTATCCTTTTAGCTTCTCGACGGCAAACAATGCGGCGTTTGTGCGTTATCAGCCGTTCAACGGGCCTGATTCAACCAACCGCCCGCAGATCTTCGACTGCTTCTTTTATCCAGAAACAACAGACCGAGATGGTGACGCTATCAAGGAAAAGGTACTCCATTACCGACATCTTCAAAGCCCCGGCTTTGCCGAAAGCCGAAACCCCCAAGAAAACGAACGTCCAAGTCAAAAACAAAGTAGAAGAAACAGTTGAAACGAAGAAACCGGCCAAGAAACAGACTAAAAATGTAGGTGAACAAAGAGTTCGTATTGTTTAGTGTGTTATAATGTGATCTTTATAGATATTGGATCAGAAAACCTTGAGCCGCTATGAAGAAAGAATGACACAGGTGTTCGAAAAGTCCAAAAATGTTACACATAACGAGGTGAGTGCAAGAAACATTATCTTACAATTAGACACATTCTCAGACCAATTCTAATAGAAAGTTAAACATCATCGATATTTCAGGTATTCTACGGTCGCTGTAACATACGACAAGGCTTATTCGAAGAGACAGAGTCGGAGAATTCAACCTCCAAACAAAAGAATCGCTCGGGTCGATCGACCAAAGCTCACCTGGCCGATTGTCTTTATTTCGCGCACACTCTCCTGAACGTGCATAACCCCGACCCTTTGGCTTCCGGCTTGCCTAAAGCCATTCGATGTCCATCAAACCCGAAAATCGTCAAAATCAAGAAGTTGGTCCGCCATGCCAGCAGGTCTCGTGTTCTGAAGTATAACAAGTACTTACAAAGATGTAAATTACAACAATTGGCACAAGAGGCAAGGGAAAAGGCCGAGTTTCAGTCCTAGAACAGCTGGAAGAGCAAGGGAAAGCTATGTTGAGGAAAATCGAGATATATCCAACATCTAACCGTGACTAAACCATTAATTTTGACTGTATTTATACCTCAACCATCAGGAATGGAACGTCGTCAACTGGGGAAACGACAAAACGATTTTATTTACCCCAAGTTAGAGTAGCTGCGTTTGCTAACTCTTAGGGCAACTATTTATAACCCACATTGTAGGTCAGAACCCTTTCATCATGTATAAAACCCCATCTTCTAATCATTCCATCAAAATCATAGTCTACATGTATACTGTTTTAGTCGTGTGTCATACTTAAAAAAAAAAGTCTTTTCGTACAAACACTGCAATATAAACCCACTCTTTCAACTGTTAATTACAGAAAACAACCTTTGGCTACGAAACCGAGAGTAGTGGTATAGCCGCAACACTTTTTTGATGCCTCATTTGAGTCTTCCACTGAAAGATCTCTCAAATTACAATGATGTTGTATTTAATCTGACTCTAATTGTTATGAATGTAATTGTTCGCTAATAAAACTTTGAATGTTGAAAGTAAAGCGAATTCATCCCGGATAAATAAACAGACATCAACAAACTGAAGAAAACCGAAAAAAATCCGCAATTTTAAACCTAAATACCATTCTTGAAGTAACGAACCCTAAGTAACCCAACGACATACAGCAGAATTTCTAGAAATCTGCGACCAACGAGATACACGCAAATATCTTCTGTGGCATTTCGCAACATTCGATAATTGGACGAAAAGCCACAATTATTTTTGTGAAATTTTCTGGAAGTGAAGAATAAGTTTCCGCGTTAGTAAGTTACCTTTTTTTATTATTTTCGCATGTATTTAGGTTGATTTCAACTAACTTCTGGCGATAGTGTTTATCAAACATTAAGGTAATGGGGCTGGGCCGGAGATATGATGGATTAGTTGCTCAATGGGGATCTTCAGTCCGTAGCCACACATTCCCATGCGTTGAAGGGACATCTCCACCTCGATGGGGTCCATCTTTTCTCCGAATCGAGTCAGTAGAGAAAAGAATTCAGATCGGCTCAGAAATCCGGTCTTTCTAGTATCCAAAGCTTTAAAACATTGTGCACACTCCCAAATCGGGTCAACCGGACGGTTCTTCTCCAAGTTTAGGATCTCGAGGAACTTGGGGAAGTCAATTTTTGGGCCTAGAAATTTGAGCAATATTAGCATTTCAAATTTTGTGTTACCTTTGTCTTTCAGATACTTTATTGTCTCCGGGACGGTCGGGACATGGCCCAATGATCGCATCACATAGCGAAGTTGACTGTGGTTGTCGATGAAGCCTTTGGTTACATAAAAGTCAAAACATTGGCGGATTTCTGAAGATAATTTTTAAGGATTATCTTATTCTTTACCTTTTAGCTGTTGAACAGTGAAATTGTGCGCCTAAATAGAAAAAAGAAGTGTTAAAATTGAGTTTTGACTACGTCTTGACCTACCATGGCTACAACAAGGCAGTGGTATTGGAAAGCGGTTGAATTTTCGATCGATTCTTTCGGTTTTAACAGTCGCCGACCCGAATCAGATCCCAAGGTCGACGGAGATTCGCGGGAAAGGATTTTACGGGATTTCGCGACGTTCGCTACATTTACTCGAATTTAAAATCCTTTGCCTTCAATGTTTTTGTTTTTTCAGAATGACAGAGCCATCAGTTTCTACTGAAGAGACATCAGAAGAGCAAGTTATTTCATTTCGAAAACCAACAAGAAGAGCTGCCCTGAGGAAACCGAAGCCCGAAGAAATCGAGAAGGACGGTGGATCAGACGAAGACGACGAGCGGATTGAGTAAGTTCTTATCGTTTTTGGTCAGACGTTTAGTAAATCCTTCAACTCAACTAGCTGAATATAATTTTAGACGGAAACTCAGAGATATTCAAGAAGTCCAGAAGCTCCGTAAACGAAGAAATGGAATGACAGCGTTAGAGTGCGCACTTGGAAAACGAATAGCTAGTGAATTCGATGAATTGGAGGACAATCCATTCAAGAGTCGGTCTGGAAACATGATGACACTGCCTGAGGACAAGAAGAAAAAGTTGACAGCTGAGGATATTACAACAGGAATGCAAGACCAGTTCCATAAAGAGGAGTTGCTCTTCGATGAGGATGAGGAAATGTAAGGGTTCTTTTATGCTATTTACGATGTCGATATTATTAGTGTAATTTATAACGTGACCAATGTTTTAGGAAGAAGTATATCGAAGCCAATATGAATCAAAGCAGATCAGTAACAGACACTCTCGAAGCCAAAAACGCCCGTTTTTGTTCCGCAGAAGATGAGATTCTTCATCGTGTTGCAGAAAAAGTCCGAGCCTACTCGTCCAAGAAGGATGATGAACTTCTTTCAAATCAAATGTTGGCTGGGATCCCAGAAGTCGATCTCGGAATAGAGGCGCGAATGAAGAATGTATTAGAAACAGAAAAGTTGAAGGGAGATATGATAGCAAATGGAGGGAAGCCACCACCGTCAGAAGAGAAGCCCAAGAAGTATAAAAGGTTCAGGATAGACTAAAACAACTTTGAACGTTGTTTTGTATAATAAATTACAATTTTATCGTTTCATCTCGATTTTTATTTTATTTGAGTTTACAGCCTCATTTACCTTTTAGTTTGGTTTTGTATTTTTTTATTGCGGGGTTGTTCCAGAATGCCTTTAGAATCACGGGTACCAACTCCAGAGTGCAGCAAAAGTCCGGAAGGAAGTAAGAAAGTTGTTGATGATTCTACTCCGTGAGTTTAATTTTTAATATTATTTATGTGTAATTTAGGTTTAGAGTGACGATAATTTCAGAACTTTGCCGTATAAAGAAGTATTGAAGATCATGAAAAAACATTATCGGGATCAAACTCCAACCAGATCAAAGTCGCCATCCCGGTGTCGCCGATCACTCAGATTGAATGCCATCGAAGCATCCGAACCTCTACCCAGTTTTGAAAACCCGAACACTTTTAACAATAGAATCCGACGAAGAATGATAGAATTGCAAAACTTGGACACCCGTAAACTCAGGCATGAACTCTCATCGCAACCATCGGCTTTAGAGACTCCGGCCGGAGCAGATAGACCAATTTATAACTTGATGAATGCATCCTCGGTAAATCGCAAATACGTCGATGATATGGCCGAAGAACACCTGGAAGGTGGAACCATGCCAGGAGAATCGGAACTACAGAAAGAAGAAGGAGCTAGGTTTCTGCAGCGTGTTTTATTCACGCTGCCTGCGAAATTTTTAGAATTTTCCATGAAAATCTTGTAAACTAGTTATATTTGTAAATTAATTATAAATTCTTACGCAAAATAAATTAAACGTGAACTAATATTCCCGCGATTTGGTTACAATTTTATTTTTTTCCCTTGCCATTAGCCCCGATTGGATTTGGACTGTTTTATTGAAAGAAGAGAACCGTGTCGGAATAGAGCGGTGGTAGAACTGCTATTTTGTTTTCGAAAAGTCGGAGGTTCGATCCCCACTAGAGCAGCGATGAATGCAAATTCAAATTTCCTTAACCGAATCAACTGAATGTTGGAGTATCTGAACGATGAGCTGCTTTTTAACCTTTTGTATTATTATTAGCAAATTGCGATCATTCTTTTTAGTTCAAGTTCCACTACAACTTTTCTCTGAAAAACATACAAAAATGTCTTACATATTTATTTGTACACAAGTAAAGTAAATATAGAGAAATTTGACAGAAATGGAATTTTTTTGGTTGATGTGGAAGAGTACCCGCTCTATTGCCCCTTGCGGGGCTGGAACACCTGGGTTTGCTGAGGCTTGCGAGCGCCGTCGGCCTGTCGGGAAGGCGCTGGCTTCTCATGCATGTGACGGATTCCATCGGTGGGGAAGTCGCGTTGGATCTGAAGAGATTGTATTAGACTAATATGACATCAATCCGACCTAAAATTTTCATTTTTGGGCGATTATTTAATAAGCACTAGATGAAGCCCTAAAATCCAAAACAAAGAACTCTTCAAAAGCTCACCTGACGAGATTCCGCTTTGCTGATACGCACCTTTCCCTCCACATCGCCTTCTCCACCGTCCGAGCCTTCACCGTTATCGCCGCCACTAACCGAAGTCTTCTCCTTTCTGGCAATCCTCATTCCACCACCGACCTTCTCAGCTGGAGCATGGCCGCCCTTCAGGACCTCTTCTTGCGATTGATCACTCATTTTCGTTCTTCGCTAAAATTAGACAATCTCAGCTCCTTTTATATCACTTTAGACAAGAGATGCGATAATACTTTGTCGGAAATTATATAAAACCGCGCAAACATTGGGGAAATTGCGAAATATTTTAGGAAATAGGCGAATCCAGGTCGCAAACCCGCCAGGAGATGTGAAACGTTCTTTGACCAGGATTTTCTTTCAAAACAAGAAGAAAATAAGCTCGTCAAAAGCACGTGCCTTTTCTCTCATTCATATTTTTGGAGAGAAGGAGAGATCCACAAGGCCATTATTGACAGAAAAGGCAATATTCTCAGAGATAACAAGTTTCATCATAAATCAAAAAGTAAACCAAATTCAATCTAAAATAAGGTCGCATACAACAAAATTAACGGTCAAAACAACAAAAAATTTTGGAAAGAACAAAATGCTAGAAAGTAGAGGACTGGCCCTCCCCTCTCTCCATCCCATGTGCCTCGGAACGCGCAGGGAACACCCTTCTTGCCCATCCATTCCACTTTTTCTGGTATTTATAATCGAAATCAACGGGAGGATCGTTTGAATAAACATGCAGGATTCTCTTCGGTCCATGGGTTCTGTGAAATCGTGGAGAGGCCATACAACGCGATGGGATTGGGGAAAAACGGTTTAAAAAATGTTGATCATGGGGAATGTAAAAGAAGGCAAAAAGCGGGGAAATAGATCGAATAAAGGGAGAAGAACGTCTCGAAGGAACGTGTTGACGTTTACAATTTGGCAAAAAACAATAAACTGTTTACTGCAACATAATGCCAACTTTGAGAAGACCTGGGATTTCGTGGCAGAGCCCGATTTTTTGCTCCATGTAAGCCTAAAAGCGACCTTCATAATGTCCCATTCTGACCATTCACACGCCTAGTGACAACTTCTTCTATTACTTGTTGACATACAGACCAAAAAAAAAGGAATTTTCTCGGTCTTTCGTGAGCGCTTTCAAGTAAAAGTAATACAACAGCTTCCATCAAACCTAATTGTAACCCGAATAATGAAACGTAAACCCCCTCCACATCTACAAGTCTCTCTTACACCTTTATTACACTAATGCATGAACTTCAACAAGAATTACACTATTTATTGTTTAGTAATCACTACTGATAAGGTTTAAAATGCCCATCAGTTTTGTAAATGACTATACAAAAGGCTGAAAGGGGTTGCGAAAGAAGTAAACAACATGCGAAAGGGGATGAAATGTATACGTTGTATTTATAGACGAGAGGAATTCTAAACTTACCAATATTATATAAGACATGAAGCGGCATAACTAAATCCGTCTTTGTGAAAAAACAATTAGACTTCTCATTAGAAATTTCGAATCAAACCCTCGAACCAAAGATAAAAGGGACAGCCTTGAAATCGGACAGTCTTTTTATAATGTTTCAAAAGGGTGCAGATACTATCAAACAAAAAAATCAAAAAAATATACAAAACATTTATTTTTTACTGGTTTTAGACGAGGTATTCTTCGTGGACTTTTTGCTCTTCGCACTGGTACTCTTGCTCTTCGAATTGGTCACACTTTTACGGCTTTTGACGCTTTTTCCACTCTCCTTGGACAACAATTTGGAGCTCCGTTGACTCCTCTGAGAACTTCCCTCAACTCTTGATGGCTCTCTCTCCGTTATGTCGGCGGTTCTAACTTTATAGATTTGTCCTTCGCTCCCAAATTTGGGGGTCTTGACCAATGGCTTATTCGTTTTCTTGGCTTCGGCGGGCGGGACTTTTGGCGGAGACGAAGTTCGCGTGGGACGGGTCTGAAAGATTGGTGGTAATCAAAGGTTTTTTGAGTCTCTGGGCTATAATTGTCAGAAACTTCCATTTTTTTAACATCTATTAAGAACAAAGGTTTAGTCTCATTACTGTGTTTGAAAACATAAACCAAAAACCTACACAACAAGAAGCGATGCAACTGCAACAACAGCACAACGCGATGACTCCAACGACGCCTGCGGCAACCAAGATTGGAACTAAAATAAAAATAAAATCTCAAAATAAGCAGCCCGTTACTTTTATAGCATTTCCAGCAGAACCCTTCTCCATCCTTTTTTACAACTACATTTATAGTAATATTGTTGTCATCACGAGTTACAGTAACCTCAGCGTCCGAATTTAAATTTGGGTTTGATGAATTTTGAGGAAAAACAAAATGAGGATGGGCTTCAGAGATGCTGGAATTGTTTGGGGGATGAATTGTGGTTTCCTGAAGATGATGAGTCGATCTGGGAACCGTGGATTGACCGGATAATGGGGTTGCAAAATAAAGTGGAATCGCTACTAAAAATAAGAACAAAGAATTCAAACGAATTTAAGAGTAACAATCGACCTACATCCCGAGAATACAAGCCATTTAGTGAAATAGGACGTGTAAATCAACATGTTCAAAGGGTAATCACCGCGGCCTGACCGGTTCTGATGAGAAGAATCTGATGCAATAACGAAGTGAAATTTGGAAATCAAGTCTTTACCTCAAGAAATCAGCGTTATCAAGTTACGTGTTGTTCTTTCTGACGGCTTCATCCTGGTCCAATCACTATAAGAATTTCTACCTGGATGTGTGATGTATTCCCGGTTCGGGTCCTCGTGGGAAAAATCCTTTTACAATGAGCTCTTTTAAAACTAACGGATCCTAATTTACAATCCTAACTTTATTCCAGCAAGTGCACTTGACTTACGTCTGATATATTTGACCTTATACTAGATCAAATATTTTGCTATTACAATACGTGCAGAAAGCCAAAAGCTTTGTAGATGCTCTAAAATAGCCTATAATCATTCATTATGGCCGCGAACTCTTTGCTATACAATTTTGGCCTCTCAAACCAGCCTATTTAACTTATACTTGACAGTCGCCCACAATAATCCCAGTTTTTCAGCTGTTCCAAACTCCTTTCGCTATCTTATGGTGCAGAACGTCGGAAGTACTCTCGAAATTGTAAGAAAATCAAGAAGATGTCCCTTCTTTCGTCCTGCCGTTCCACTTTTCTCTATTTGAAATTCCTAAAAGACTGCACAGTGCAAGTTTGTAAATGCGAGGAAAAGAATTGCCGAAAAAACCGGCAGAACCACCGACTCCAGGAGCCCTGTTACTGCAGACCCATCCACAATTATGTTGGAGACTGTACGAGAAGAGGCCTGCTGACTGTGAGGGATCTAACAAGGGAATGTAAGGATTGTAAGGGATGTAAGGATTGTAAGGGATGTAAGGATTGTAAGGATTGTAAGGGAAAAGCGCATCCAAAATGTCAGGATTTTAAACTTGGAACATAAATGTCATACGCTTTAAAAGAGAGTTTTTTACAGATTGAAGCTTCTCATAACAAGGGCCGGACATTTCGAAAAAACGACCGACTCAGAATCTTTTGATATTTTGCATAGTTGATGTACTATGATAGCTGAACGTCAGCACGAATTTTTAGTTTCGGAAATTACCGTATACGGGGGTTACGGTAGGTACAACTTTTAGAAAGATTGGGTTCGTATGGAAAAACCTTAAGGAGTAAAGGCACAAAACCTCGCCGTTTTACGTTTTTGACCATGGGGAACATTTTCATAATTGACAACTTTGCCGTAGGATGTTGCCTTCGACTACTTTGAAAAATACCAAGGTACCATATTGAATGTAACTTTTTTGCAGAGAACTTGTCTCAACTTTTGAAACCTCTCAAAAATACGTTGACATGTATGGAACAACATATCAAAAATTTAGAAAAATAAAAGGGGGGGGTTTTGGAGTTACGGTACTTTGAATGTTGCCGGTACGGTATATCAAAAAATTATTTTTTTTTAAATCGGTGTAGAAGACCCGCAAAAACTGCCAAAACACGTTTTCAACCATGGCGAACATTTTTGTAATTGACACTTTTTTTGTAGGATGTAGTCTTCGCCTACTTCGAAAATGACCCAGATACCATGTGTAATGTAACTTTTCGGCATTCTACTTGTCTCAACTTTTGAAACCTCTCAAAAATACGTTGACACGTATGGAACAACATATCAAAAATTTAGAAAAATAAAAGGGGGGGTTTTGGAGTTACGGTACTTTGAATGTTGCCGGTACGGTATATCAAAAAATCATTTTTTTCGAAATGGGTGAGAAGACCCGCAAACATTGCTAAAATACGTTTTCGACCATGGCGAACATTTTTGTAATTGACGGTTTTGTTCTAGGATGCAGCCTTCGACCGGTTTGAGAAATGTCAAGATACCATGTTCAATATAACTTTCCGGCATTCAACTTGTCTCAACTTTTGAAACCTTTCAAAAACACCTTGACATATGTGTAACAACATATCAAAAATTTAGGAAAATAAAAGGGGGGGTTTTGGAGTTATAGCACTTTGAATGTTGGACATACACTACACCAAACTTTTTCTGTGATGCTGACATCCGATATTGATAGATTCCACCGTCGTATGGCACACACGTCTCTAAACCGTGTCAATTGTTACAAAAAAATTAAGAAATCACTGATCTTGCTGTCACAGTAACCAGTCATCTGCGCACGATATGTTACAGTATGCTTAGGTCTAGTTTTTTTGATTTTTTTTGTGAAAATAGTTTGTGAGGGTCGTACAACATATATAAAACATTACATTTTGTTTTTAAAATAATCTACGTAAAGTTAAGCCGAGAATAAATCGAGGTGTACTGTATGTCCAACATTCAAAGTGCTATAACTCCAAAACCCCCCCTTTTATTTTCCTAAATTTTTGATATGTTGTTACACATATGTCAAGGTGTTTTTGAAATGTTTCAAAAGCTGAGACAAGTTGAATGCCGGAAAGTTATATTGAACATGGTATCTTGACATTTCTCAAACCGGTCGAAGGCTGCATCCTAGAACAAAACTGTCAATTACAAAAATGTTCCCCATGGTTGGAAACGTATATTGACAAGGTTTGCGGTTGTCCTACTCCAATTTTAGAAAAAATGAAATTTTGATATACCGTGCCGGCAACGTTAAAAGTGCCATAACTCCAAAACCCCCCCTTTTATTTTTCTAAATTTTTGATATGTTGTTCCATACGTGTCAACGTATTTTTGAGAGGTTTCAAAAGTTGAGACAAGTAGAATGCCGAAAAGTTACATTACACATGGTATCTGGGTCATTTTCGAAGTAGGCGAAGACTACATCCTACAAAAAAAGTGTCAATTACAAAAATGTTCGCCATGGTTGAAAACGTGTTTTGGCAGTTATTGCGGGTCTTCTACACCGATTTAAAAAAAAATAATTTTTTGATATACCGTACCGGCAACATTCAAAGTACCGTAACTCCAAAACCCCCCCTTTTATTTTTCTAAATTTTTGATATGTTGTTCCATACATGTCAACGTATTTTTGAGAGGTTTCAAAAGTTGAGACAAGTTCTCTGCAAAAAAGTTACATTCAATATGGTACCTTGGTATTTTTCAAAGTAGTCGAAGGCAACATCCTACGGCAAAGTTGTCAATTATGAAAATGTTCCCCATGGTCAAAAACGTAAAACGGCGAGGTTTTGTGCCTTTCCTCCTTAAGGTTTTTACATACGAACCCAATCTTTCTAAAAATTGTACCTACCGTAACCCCCGTATACGGTAATTTCCGAAACTAAAAATTTGTGCTGACGTTTAGCTATCATGGTACAACAACTATGCAAAATATCAAAAGATTCTGGGTCGGTCGTTTTTTCGAAATGTCCGGGCCATCCTTCGATTTGTAAAAAACTCTCTTTTAAAACACGATTTCTGAGTCACTGAATCAGCCGCCAGTTAGGTGTGGACATAGGAAAAAATCGATTTTGAGTTTTTCATTTCAAAATGACCGGAGGCATCCTACTAGCATATTCCCGAAACATTTTTGCCCAATTCTCCCGTTAACCTACTGTAATTTACAAAAGTGTGATTTTACAGTAATCTGGTATTACTCAAAAAATACGCATCGTAAAGGGTTAAAATCAGCAGTGTATAGGTTCTGGCATCTTTTGATTACAATGGAAGTCGATTTTTGGCGATTGGGTTACTGTAACATAGCAAAACCTTTGTTCGGCCGCATAAAATCGGACATAAAAAATTTTTTTCTGAAATGCCACAGCTGATTTTTACATATGTTAATAAGCATAAAATTCTGCTATATAAACGTTAAAAAAAGTGTAAAAAACCATAATCCAATTTTCGTGGTATATTGGATTTTGTCAAAATTTGTAATCCGAAGGTCCCGGGTTCGATTCCCACTGGACGAAAAATTCGAAAGACCGCATAAAACTTTAAAAAAAACAATTAGTACAGGTCAGTCAAGAATATTTAAGTCATGCATAATTATATCCAAGGGAATAATGTAAATTTTAAAGCACTTTTTGAAGATAAGATCATAATTTTGCTTTCAGTGGATTTTCGAACAAAGTCAGTTGCGGAAAATCGGTAAAAGTGAAATATTTGAAGTTTTCAAGCATACTGAATCTAACGAAAGGGTTTTTTCGAAACCAAGATTACTGTAACATAGAAAAATATGGCTTCGGCCGCTAAAAATCGGCCGCAAAATTTTTGTTTCTCAACGCACGCTGTTAGTAACCCAATTTTCGGAATCAGCATAAAATTCTGCACTAGAGATATTTTTTACCGTATTTGAACTCTATTTTTTGCATTTCACAACTTTTCTACACTTGCATCGAAAGTTCCAAGATCATAAATCTTGCACAAAAATTAAAAAATTTTTTTTTGAGTTTTTGGCCTGAAATTAATCAAATTCATGGCTAAAGTTTGACCTTAAACTATTTGTCTCTAACCCTCTCGTTAACACAGTTTTATTTACAATTTTCAAATTGAAAAGTAATTTCCCACAAAATAAAACTTAGTGCATAAAAGACTGTTTCTTGGTTGTGCCTAGAGCAGAATTTTATGCTGATCACGAAAATTGAATTACTTACTGCGTGCGCTTAGAAACAAAAATTTTACGGCCGATTTTTAGCGGCCGAAGCCATATTTTTCTATGTTACAGTAATCTTGGTTTCGAAAAAACCCTTTCGTTAGATTCAGTATGCTTGAAAACTTCAAATATTTCACTTTTACGATTTTCCGCAACTGACTTTGTTCGAAAATCCACTGAAAGCAAAATTATGAACTTATCTTCAAAAAGTGCTTTAAAATTTACATTATTCCCTTAGATATAATTATGCATGGCTTAAATATTCTTAACTGACCTGTACTAATTGTTTTCTTAAAGTTTTATGCGGTCTTTCGAATTTTTCGTCCAGTGGGAATCGAACCCGGGACCTTCGGATTACAAATTTTGACAAAATCCAATATACCACGAAAATTGGATTATGGTTTTTTACACTTTTTTTTAACGTTTATATAGCAGAATTTTATGCTTATTAACATATGTAAAAATCAGCTGTGGCATTTCAGAAAAAATTTTTTATGCCCGATTTTATGCGGCCGAACAAAGGTTTTGCTATGTTACAGTAACCCAATCGCCAAAAATCGACTTCCATTGTAATCAAAAGATGCCAGAACCTATACACTGCTGATTTTAACCCTTTACGATGCGTATTTTTTGAGTAATACCAGATTACTGTAAAATCACACTTTTGTAAATTACAGTAGGTTAACGGGAGAATTGGGCAAAAATGTGTCGGGAATATGCTAGTAGGATGCCTCCGGTCATTTTGAAATGAAAAACTCAAAATCGATTTTTTTCTATGTCCACGGCTGATTCAGTGACTCAGAAATCGTGTTTTAACAGTCTTCTTTACTGCCGTCTTTGAAAAATCTTATAATAAAAATTTTAAAAGGAAATTTTAAATTGCACTAGACGTCAGATGTTGGACCTTATAAATAAAAAAATACAACTTTAAACAGTCTTCAGCTATTATGTTATTTGAATAACATCTGGAACAAAAATTGATCCAGTATCACGGGACTCCCTCAAAATTTTAGAAAATCAGGTGAAATCGCCAGTCCTAATATTGTAACTTGATATCGAATTTGACGACACATAAAGAGAGAATTGGCAAAACTTGAAGGCAGTAAAGTGCACAAACGAACTCCACAAAAGATGAATAGTACTTCAACGACTGTCGACCTCTGTAACCATAAGAAAACTTAACTGTTTCAACCAGTTGACATTGTACTAGGTAAATCAACGCTTACCTTTTTCAAGTATAATATATCCGATAAACAATTCATTACTATCCATATGTACTACAGTAAATTATATCAGCTATCCTCCTCGTCCCTTCCAGCCATTTTCACCCTCAAAAATTGCTAATATACTCCAAGAAACTACTGTATTCACAATTTATTCGTAATAAAACCCAAGTTTACCTACATATCGAGTCGTTCTCAAGTTAGATCTCCACAAACATCATCCAAATTGAAGCCATACAACTTCGACGGTTGTCAGATGTCTTCATCGACGATTTAGATCACCAAAAGAAGACAAACGCCCAGCAGCTGATACAATGTTGAATCTGAGCATAGGGGATTACCGTGGGCACAAAACGATCTAAAAATCCGTAAACATTAAAAAATGCATCAAAATCAAAAGTAATCAAACAGAATTCATCAAAAACTCACCAAAACGTGGCTTTCATCCCAAACATTTTGTCCTTGCTCGTCCAGATACAAAATTCGATGACATCCTCCGAAATATCACAACGCGTTGCAACGTTTCAAGAATTTTGCCAACAAAAAAATTTTGAATAAAATTGAAAGAAAAAAGACAAATTCTGCCACGAATTTTCACAAAAAAACAAAATTTGCATATTGAAATTCACCAAATTTTCGTTTTCATTTTTCTCATTTACCGGTAATTCCAATTACGGTATAACGCTCACGCTCAGGATGAACTCCACCACCTCCAGCGAAAGCACCCGCTCCGGCGAACAGTCCGCCATTCCGGCGATGGCCCCAACTCCAAACACCGCTGCCGTCCCGGTGTTTGGGGTTGGGGAACGGTCGACGTGTAAGTCCAGGGGATTTTGGGGGTTTTTGGGTTTTGTAGATTATAAGCGGAGATTTCAACGTTGGGAATTTCTCAACAAAATTCCAGGAAATCCGTCATCATATTTCAATTGAAATTGCCAGTCATCTGAAAATTCCTTTTGACATCTTTCTGCTTCTTAATAACACCATTTTTGGTCCAAAAATCCTAAAATAATGATATTGTAGTAGACGATGACAATGGATTTCATGGGTATTTTGATGACGAAATCCCTGCTCTGAGACCCGCAACGTGGTTTTAAGTTGATTTGAGATGATTTACTTTGAGGTTAGGGCCAATAATATGCAAAAATATTTAAACTTCCTTTGTTCTTCTTCCTGATATCTAGCACAACATAATTTTGAAGACAAATACTTTAAAAAAAAAGTTCAAAATAGTTGGTTTTGAACCCTGTTTGTCTCAATTTATTTGATTTGAAACTCAAAACTTCTTTATATTGGATTTCACCAGTAAAATAATGAAGTTTGACGATCCATTTTGGCTGGTGGGTTTCTACCGTAAATCCCGCCAGAAATGAAAAAAAAAACTAGGCTTAATGGCCCTGAAAATACACCAAAAGGCCTGGGAGTGCATATTCCAGGCGAATATGACACTAAAAAGCTTTCTAAAGAAAGTAATTTAATGGCTGGTGGGGATTACTGTAAAGCCCGCCGGGTATCGCTTTGTTATTGTGAAATACAGCCGAAATTGGCCTTGGTGGCATTTTTTACAACGCGATAGATCGACCCAATTCGAACGCTGGAAGCTTGGTAAGTTAATTTTTTTGAGTTTTACAGTTTTTAGAACCTACAACGCCGTACGAAGAAGATCGTACACACAAAATTGAGAGTAGAAGGACAAATTTTGGGCATTTTTTTAGCCATTTTTTGTCGTATTTTACACAAAATTCGGAAAAGTTCGAGCAAAAAACAAGAGGCATTTCGAAAATTTTAAAAACCAAATTTATTAAACGTTTTGATTTTTTTTAGAAAGTTTTTTGGAAAAAAAGAAAATTCTTGAGCTTTTTTACACCCCTCAGGCAATAGAGTCAGATTTAACAATATTTACTAGCTGGAATAAATCATGACCCTAAGTTTAATATAAATTTTAGGCCAAAAAGTAAAAATTTCTCCTGAATTTTGCCCTACACCAAATTATGAACAATATCCCAGTCCCAAACCTTCGAACCTCTTACCGAAGCCTCCAAATACAACATCAAGAAGATCCTTGTCATCAATGAGGTGTCAAATCGGATATTATCCATGATGATCAACGTCGACTGGACAATGCATATCGACGGAATCAACTCCGATTCATCCAAACAGATTCTCATCAATTCAGTGGCTCAGGAACAAGTCGAAGATGGATCAGTTCTGACAATTTTGGCAGTTCCAGCACTGTGTCCTCCAGGGAACCACCTAAAATTCTATCTTCTTATTATAAATGTTCTTTTTCATGCTGTATTGGTCATAAATTATTATTATACATAGCATTTTGGAATATTCTTGGAGCCAAAAATCCCCAAACAAACACTAAACTATTCACTTTCATGGCCAAAAATGGTCTTACATTTGTGTTTTAATCCAATTGCCATCCACTTCCATCTCTAATATGCTCTTTGGACCAGGTAAAGATTTTTTGACTTCTTCCAGCCGTTTCCACTGTTCCAGTAATTCCAAAATCAACATCTCGATGGGTCATGTTCTCCCATCCACGGCCACGTTGGAGTCCTGAAACATCAACCATTACAAATGGATATCCATATCTTTATAAAATTGTAATTGTATCGAATATATGCATAAACACTTACATTACTTTATGTTCATGTCCATTGACTTGTTTTGGCTTATATCCGGGGTTTCGTGTAAGACACCACTTCATGACACGAGGAATTACCTGGACCTTCCCATTTGTACCAATTCAAGGAATGGACTGACTGCTGAAGATCGACATCTACTGGACCATGTCTCCGATGATTACTTACGGTCAGGTTCGCATTAGACAAATTCCAAGGGGTGGGGAGCTCGTCTCGTCCATGGATGGACGTTATTGAAGTTTGTTCTTGGCCTTTGTCCTCGTTCTTCTTGTCCGAATCTTGTTGAATGACTTCTCGAGGTGTTCTGTGCTATTCTCCAGGTGGACGTGATTTCTCGTCGTTCCGGCTCGTCGAATTTACGGTTTCGTGCCGCGTGGACTTTTTCAGAGACTTTACACATCGGCTAAAACACCGTGTTCATCATGTTCGCTCAGTCTTAACATCAAAAAAAGACCCAGCAAACCGACTTACCGACTTGACCAACATCAAAATTCACTATCATGACATTGGACTCTACTCTTTGGAGTTACCACCTTCAGAAGACTTCAAAGCGTTCGCAAAAAAAGGTGAAGGATCATCGATCACCCGAACATTCCATCCCATCAACACTTCACCATCAAAATTGTTTTTACGGCAGGACTCCAATTGAAGTAACGAGACTCAGCAATGATTTCCTTGGCCTGAAGATTATTCATGACATCAATATCGTCTTGGAAATTAGCGAACAATCAATGGATATCTGGAATGAGGCATTAAAAAGACGGATACAAGGAGAAAACCCGAAATTACATCAATTTTTAGACGTTTTCGTCCATTTGACCCCTACACTCACCTTATTTTAGCTCAATTCGAACATCCAAACACCAAGCTGTCCATTTTCATCTTCAAGATCCAATCCATCACCCGTTTTCCATGATTTTCACGTCGACATCGCCACAAATCACCCAACGGTTGTCCATCCGCACCTAATCTTCTTCCATCGAGGAGCAATCATCATTTTGCTTCGGATCAGCGCCATCAATTTGCTCTTATCTCATTTTCTGGGGTCCTTTTGAAGGTTCTCCTTGTTCCACGTTGTCGTTTGATCCGATCTTCGGTTCATTCAGTGTTCTACAGCTTTCGAGCTGCTCTGCTGTCGATTTCCTGATCACCACCATTAAATACGTCTTCCGGTCGCCATCAACATAAAAAATCAGCTTGAGTTTCTTGTGGTTTATACGGTTTCGTCGCTGCACTTCAAACTGGATGGAATTTCAACATCATTGGACCGTTTTCTGGACAAATGGACAATTCTTCACAGGGCTTTGGGCGAATTCTGGAATTTTCGGTCACCGTGGACTTCAGAATCAAAATTCCGGATCTCCAGCATCGGGATCTGCGTCTAAAAGCAAAAAAGTTACACAGGGAAAATTGAGAGAATATGTTATGTTAGGGCCCTTAGCGATAGAGTTAGCAGTTTAAATCATATTTTTTGAATTTTCGTCTAATTTTGGTGATTTTAGTGTCTCCAAACAACGTCGGCCAGGGTTCCGGCCCACGCTCGTGCCCTCCATCCGAGCGCCAAGCCCATTCCGCGCAGGCTGAAGTACTGCCGGCGGTAATGGCCCCTCCTCTGGTTGGCCAGCACCCAACCGGCGTCCCAGAGGAGGGTAAAGAGGGGCCAAGCCCAGCATCTGGCCTCTCTGGCTTCGGCCTAAATAACGCCCCAACCGTTCAGGCCGAGCACCTGCCGGCGGTTGAGGGCACGGAGAGATCGAGCTCACCACTCGATCTCTCCGCCCCCAGCACGTTGCAGTTCTCGCCCGTCTACAGTCCCGGGCACTCAACGTTGCATGGGGTCCCCTCAATAAACTCAATGGAAGTCTTCGATGAGGGGGAAGACTGGGCGGTGGACGAGACGGTCGAAGACAGAATCGACCGTCTCGAATACGAACGAAAACTATGGAAGACCGAATGCCGGAAGATGTGGCAGAGGCAATCGAACCTCGAGAAAAATGTGAGGTACTATGAAGGGGCGGTTGAAGAGGCCCAAGCTGAAGTCAAGAAGGCCAAAGAAGAAGCGGCCGCCGCAATCAGAAAAGCGGAAGAAGAAGCCGAAAACAAGATCAGCGAGCTCCAAAGAAAATATTTTGGGGCCCTGACCGAAGCGGACCGTGCTCAGAGGAAGCAAAAGGAGGCAGAAGAAGAAGTCGCCCGTCTCCAACAACGGCTCATGGAGAATTTGAAAAAGGCCGCTCCTCGTTCACCAAGAAAAGAACGCTCCAGAAGTCCACTGACAACGGCACGGTCACGAACTCCCGACGCCCAGCCAAGTGCCTCGCCGACACCTGAAGCCGAACCAGAGCTTTCACAGCCGTCCTTCGACGTCCAGGCTGTAGAACAACAACAGCATGATGCCCCAGGGCCCCTCCGAAGAATGCCCAAGTGCAGGAGGCGGTGCTGCCAGCCGCCGCCTCCTGTCAATCAACCTCCTCGGCCTCCCCGAAGATCAAGGGAGGCTGAACAACTCGGCCCAATCATTGAAGCCGTCGTCTTTGAAGACCGGCCGAGGAGGAGAAGCCGTCAGCCTCCGGCACGCCTTGTCGTAGACATGGTGCGCAGGAGCTACGCATCAATGCGTAACTCCTTGATGCCTCGTAAGTTTATTGGCTCTTTTTTCACTTTTTAGGCCAAAATCCTCTAGAAATAAACCAAGTTCAGGTGTTTTTTTAATAAAAAATACATTATCCATGTATAATTCTCAATAATATCTGTTTTTTTTCAGGCAGAAGGACCCGAAGGACCAATGTTCATGACGAGCTTCCTGGGTTCCTTGGGTAATCACCCATATTGAAGACAGACCTCCGCCTTCAGCACCTAATTACGTAAGTTTTTTGGCAGTCACGCCCCAATAACCTCGATTTTTCAGTTATTGGCATAAATTTCCCCAAGAGATTAAAAATACTTACGGATGACAGAGTATAAAACTCTTCACGGACCAATAATTTGTTGTTGACCACAAGATCCCATCTATAGATCGCGCAGTTGATCAGTACGAGAAAAAGTAAGTTCCCTTTTATTTCCCAAAAAAATAATTATTTTTGCGAACTGCGCCCGAAAAAACAACGTTTGCTTTTTTTTGCCATACGCTGGTGAATTTCGCGGGTATAGTATAATATAATTGTAGAAGATAGTGGTAGAACTAGCTGTAAAGTCGCGTGTAAACGTCTTTCAGCTTCATTTTTTTCTGGACCTCCATGACTTTACAGTTTTTTTGAGTTTTTCCCCATTTTTTATCTAAAATATAATTTTATCCTTTTATTTTCAGCCAATGCCAAGTCCAGGAAGGCATAAAACAAAGGTGGAGCACCCTAGCCCCCCGAATGAGCCCGGGGGGCCTTCGGAAAATCAAAAAGGGTGCTCACCTTTTGTTTCCGGCCCTGGTGTGGACGTTTCTGGTCGAACCGGAGCACCCCGGCCCTCCGCTTCACTCGGGGGGCCTTCTGGAAAATCACGGGTGCTCGGCAAGACCAGATAAAGTAAAATTTTGTTATTTTGGACCTTGATTTAAGCTGAAATGATACAATCTAATTCTATTTTCAGATGGAGATCAGTCCGAACCGAAGTGGGCACCCTCGCCCCTGAATCAGCTCGGGGGGCTTTTGGAATTAAAAGGGTGCCCCACCTTTTATGGTCAACCTTGTGGATTTGGGGCTAAAATATGGTAAGTTATCGTGTTCAAATTATATTTTTACCTTTATTTTTTCAGAATCTCCAAACAAGACGAACTGCGGGAAAGCAGGAGCACCCTCGCCCCCTGAGTGAGCTCGGGGGGCCTCTGGAATTAAAAGGGTGCTCTGTCCTAGTCCTCCACGTCCATGAATGAGCTCAATTGCGCTTGGACCAGCCTTTTCTTCATGAAGAAGATTGGAAACGACTGTTTTTTCGCCAGATTGGATTCTTCGAATCGCTGAAAATTGAAACAATCGGACCGGAATGGAGGTAAGCTTACTTTTTTTACTTACAAGGGAAGTACCCCAAGTGCGACGCTCAGATTTTCTTTAAATTTTGCACACACGTCGGGTATGGACTAAATATCAATTCCTGAAAGTTTTAGCTCGCGCTTTGCAGGCGCTACCGAGATATTCAACGATTTTTGCCGCCGAGAGAGTACACTAACGTGGAGAGCGGTCAGAGAGAAAAACGCTTTTTGGCCATAACTTTGGCAGTTTTGTGCGGAAAAATTTGATTTTTTGTGGAAACATTACTCTCTATGGTAGAAATAAGCGTGAAACTTTTCGTGCCGAAGTTCGGCAAAAATTGTCAAATTTTCACCAACTTTCGATCCAAAAATCTCGGTTGTTTCTGCAAAGCGCGAGCTAGAATTCTCGCGTGTATTTTAGAAAAAAATATTCTAAATAAATTCGGTTTCCTATGAGCATAATTAGAGTAGTTTTAGAGAAAAATCAGCAACCGAATGTCCTATACTAGCTTACTCACTCAAAATTCCAAAAAAACTGATATTTAGGTGACTAAAATAATATTTTAAAAATCGGTAGGTTTTAACTCAGCTAGGTCCTTGATCTAACAAGTCAGTAAGAGCATAATTACTGACATCCGCACTATTTTGGAAGCTGTTGTGAGAACCTTGTTTTAGGTGATAGTAACCATTTTTTGAAATCGGCGCAGCAAGGTTGAAACCAACTCCAAAAGTTGAGCGTAGCCATAGAAAGCAATCTCAATTGACATACATAATTTTAAAACTTTGACTTCAGCCTTAAACTTCTATTATTTTTTCTTAAGATGACTATGTATAAGGTAAAACTTTTTTCTCGGCCTGGGAGTTGAAATTTTTGCAATTTATCTCCATTAACAAAATGTTATGAGATAACATGGATCATTTATTTGACTATTTAACGCTGTCGTTGCGCCTTTTAAAAATTGCACAAACATATGTAATACATGTAAACGGTTTAGGAAACACTGACCACCTTTGTCAAGGGGTTTAGAGATATTTTTGTAGTGTTGTCGTGTTAATTTTTTATTTTTCAGAGTTCCTCTTCGAGACCCACCACCGAAAGGATAACAGAGAAAAAAAGCCAAAAAATAACTAAAAGGCAAAAAATAGAAGAGCCAAAAAAAAAGGCCAAAAAAATAAAAAAAAGAAGAGCCAAAAAAAGGCCAAAAAAAATAAAAAAAAGAGCCAAAAAAAAGGCCAAAAAAAAATAAAAAAAAGAGCCAAAAAAAAGGCCAAAAAAATAAAAAAAAAGAGCCAAAAAAGTTGAAAAGGCCAAAAAAAAATATTTTTTTGAAAAAATAAGAGAAAAGAAAAAAAGGAACAAAAAAAAAACGTAAAAAATGAAAAAAAAACATAAAAAAGCTTTTTTAATTTACCCCTCATAATTTATCACGATTTTTTAACATGTAAGTTATCGGTTCATACTTCAGCGTAGTCTTTAATCTGAAATTATATGATTTATATTTGCAGAAAATGACCCCGGAAAGCAATGGATCCTTCGAAAACTAGACCAATTCAACTTCTCACTCCCGGCCCAGGACGGCACCTACATGGCCGAAATCCAAACCAACGATTTAGACAACATGGAATGTAAGTTTTGATGGTTTTTTTGCAGTTGAGGATATTAGGGAACTGTTCGGATTGTTGTAACTTGTTTTTTGTGGTGATTCAATTGATCACTGTATTTTCAGGTATTGCTCCAAGATTTCTTCACTGCTTTTCGGATGTAAAATAAAAAAAAAGAAAAAAAAAAATTAAAAAAAAAGAAAAAAAAAAAATAAAAAAAAAACATAAAAATTTTTTTTTTAAGTAACCCCGTTTCGGATGTAAAATAAAAAAAAAGAAAAAAATTAGAAAAAAGAAAAAAATAAAAAAAAAGAAAAAAAAATAAAAAAAAAAAAAAAAAAGAAAAAAATAAAAATAAAAAAAAAACATAAAGAATATTTTTTTTAAGTAACCCGTATCGTTCTCTTCTAAATTTTACTCGCCTAATAGTTTACTGCCCATTTGTAACAATGTAAGTTGTCATTTCATTCTTGAATTTATCCTGGATTTTTATTAAGTTGATTAATTATCTATTTTTTCAGAAACCCATCTCTCGAATCAGTGAATCTTTGGAACACATTTCCCGACCCTACTTTCAATGTCCCAATTCCGGCCCAGGACGGCACCTACACGGCCGAAATCCAAACCAACGATTTAGACTACATGGAATGTAAGTTTTGAGGGTTTTTTTTGTAGTTGAGGATATTAGGGAACTCCAGATTGTTGTCACTTGTTTTGGTGGTTCTTCAATTGATTATTTTATTTTCAGATTTTGATCCAAGATTTCACTGCCGTATCCCTAATGTTTACCACCCATTTTTTACTATGTAAGTTGTTGTTTCACCCTTGATTTTACCCTGGATTTCTCAAACTAAGGTCTATATTTTCAGAAACCTAAAGTTAGAAAAAAAGTCGACATCACCTTCACTCACGCCACATTCCCCGTTCCATTTGCAACACCCATCCTTCCCTCCCACTCGCACCGCACCCCTCCTCCATTTCACTCCCACCACACTCCTCCCCCATCACACTCTCTTCAGAATGTAAGTTTCGTCGTTTATTGGTAGTTGGGGAAATTACGGATAGCTTGAGATTATTGTCAACTCTTTTTTGAGGGTTCTTCAATTTATTCTTTTAATTTGCAGAGATCTCCAAGCCCTATGTAACGGATAACTTTAAAAAAAAATAAAAAATAAGAAAAAAAAGAAAAAAATATAAAAAAATAGAAAAAAGAATAAAAAAGAAAAAAAAATAAAAAAAAGAAAAAATAGAAAATTAGAAAAAAGATACCACTCCCACCACCCCCCTTTCCCTTTCCCTTTCCCTTTCCCTTTCCCTTTCCCTTTCCCTTTCCCTTTCCCTTTCCCTTTCCCTTTCCCTTTCCCTTTCCCCTCCCACTCCCTCCCCTTCACCCAATCATCAAAGCCTGCTTTGGTGATTAAAGTAAGTTGTTTTTTCCCAATTGTAGGCCTTTATTTCTTGTTATAAGTCCAGATACTGCTCGTTCTACTTTTAATCTTATTTATTTTCATGGAAATCATCGAGAATCCGTTTCTTGGAGCCCTGGAGAAGTTGGAGAAATCAATGGTGCCCTGGAGGTCCCCACCGCGGAAAGATCAGAATGGTATGTCGATTGGGAGTGTTAAATTAGGGAGTCGAGGTGTAGAAAGGATACTCCGAGAATTTAAGCGAAAAGAGTTTAGTTTTGTAAAAGAAGCCCGTCATCACGATATATTTTTTATAGGGTTGGGGTAGAGATAAGGGTGTTTTTAACTCTAATTTTTACTGTGGTGTGAACGGGTTACACTCAGGTTTAGAAGCTTAAAAGTATAGCTAGGTGCTGTTTTTGTTTTTGATTATTAGAAACACATATGAAGTTCTCGTCATGACGGGCAACTTAGGAGGTTACATTTCTTGTGATTTTTCGGAAATATTTTAGAACTTTTTCTCTTTTTCGGGAGGTGTTTGGGAATTAAAAGATGTGAGGTGCCGTAAAAGCAATTTTATAAGAAGTAATAACTAGTTTTGCCATTAATCATGTCGTCATGACGGTATTGGGGTACTTTTATATTGCTCATGAGATGATTGACTTTCCTGTTTAATTTTTCGCGTTTAAATACATTTTTCTTTCAGAAGTACGTCCAGCATTGCCCTATGGTTGAAGGGCAAGCTAGAGTAAAAGTTGAAAACAAAACAGACCATTCCTTGAAGATGCACAGTGCAATTGTTTGGAGGTAGGCGAAACTTTGTTAACAAAAGCGGGTTTGGTTGATGGAGGGTTAGAAATCCGTTTGAGTTTGGATTCGAACGATGTAGCTGGCTACATTCGTCGCCGCGGGGATATAGGGCTCGTGGTCTTTACTTTTCATCGGCTCTGCGAATTTGTTTTGCAAAAAGGCGTTCAGTATGCCCTGCTGAACGCCTTTTGGCAAAATCGGTTCAGCGGTTTCTTCTGTAAGATATTTCGTGAACGGGAAATGGCAAAAGCCGTTCATTTTGTGAATTTTCGTTCTGTTTTTTTTTTGTAGATTTCGAAACCGTCTGAACTAGTTCAGAGTCGGTTGAACTAGTGCAAAAAACCGAGGTCTTTGACCACGTGAACCTGTTCATTTTTCTTTGAAAATTTCGTAACCAGTGAGTTGGTTCAATGTTTTGTGAATCGATTCAAACATTGAACCCGCTTTCCAATCGGCTCTGAACGGGTTGGACACCACACGTCAAAATAAAAAGGGAATTTCGTCAAAGCCGTGGCGATCCGCGAAATAACGATTTGCGATTGGCGAGAGGAAGAGGGCGCACGCACAAAAAGGAAGAGAGCGGTCAGAGAAAGAAGAAAAAATCGGCCGTTGCTTTTCGCTGCGGCCCCTCACGAAATTTCGTTTTTCTTCTATTTTCATTCTGACGTGCACCAGTTCAAACCGTGAACGGTTTTTGCAAAAAGGCGTTCAGAATTTCCGCAAAACAAATTCGCAGAGCCAATGAAAAGTAAAGACCCCGAGCCCTATATTGAAAGCGATTTTATACGAAGTAATTACCAGTTTTTGCCATTATTCATGTCGTCATGACGGTATTGGGATATTTTTATATTGCTGATGAGATGATTAACTTTCCGGCTTAATTTCTCGCGTTTAAACACATTTTTCTTTCAGAATGACATTTGGGCATGCTTACGGTCGACGAGCTAGATTGATCGGAATCGAAGAACAAGATAGCCCAAGAAGAAGACAGCGAAGAACCGAGCCCTGCATTCCATGGTAACATCCGGCTTCATTGAGGATGCTCAGTAGTTTTGTTTCGATCTAAGGTTGTTTCTGCAAAGCGCGAGCTTGGATTCTCGCATATATCTTAGAAAAAATTATTCTTAATTTGTGCCAAGTTTCATCAAAATCTGAGCGTCGCACTTGGAGTACTTGTTGTATGAGATTGTTAACCTTATTTTTGAGTTTTCCGCCTTCTAATCTCTCTTTTCTTTCAGATTCCCTCAAGTTCCACAAGATTCAATCAGTCCAGGCCACTTCCCAGCCGATAAGAAGAATCTGCAAATCTAATTTGATCTATTTGTTGTTGTTGTTTTTTATTTACAGGGTGTACCAAATTGGTGGCCCGATTTGAATTGGCTATAACTTCTTTAATTTTGGGCCAAATTTTAAAATTCTTTTTTTCCCTGAATCCTCAGACAACCCCATTTTGTCTGATACCAAATATGTTATACATAGGTACGTGTCATCTACAGTTATTAGATTTATTCTTGAAGTTCATTTTTTTGGTCGTTTTCGGTTGTTTTTTCGGCCTTTCCCGGTGTGTCCGAAAATGGAGTACGGTGTGGAAGAAAAAGCTTGGTCTGTGGTTTGGTATGGCAAATACGGTTCGCCGATAAATGTTCAAAGGGAATACAGGATGAAATACGGACGTAAGGCCCAACCCAGATCGCAAGACATTTCGGCGTTGGTGGAATAGGTTCCTTGAGACTGGCAGCGTTAACAGGAAACAAAAAAAGCAGGAAAGATGGGTACGAACGTAGCTGAAAATGGAAGAAGTTTTGGCAAAATTCCGAGAAAATCCGCATATGAGTACACGAAGTTTGGCCAGAACCGAGGGAATGCCTTCACCAAGGACCATTCGACGAACTCTGGAGGTTGATCTTCACTTTTTTTTCTTATTCTCATCGTCGATTTTCAGGAGGGGAAATTCCACCGTATTTTTCTTCCGCACCGTACTCCATTTTCGGACACACCGGGAAAGGCCGAAAAAACAACCGAAAAACGACCAAAAAAATGAACTTCAAGAATAAATGCAATAACTGTAGATGACACTTACCTATGTATAACATATTTGGTATCAGACAAAATGGGGTTGTCTGAGGATTCAGGGAAAAAAAGAATTTTAAAATTTGGCCCAAAATTAAAGAAGTTATAGCCAATTCAAATCGGGCACCGAATTTGGTACACCCTGTATTTTTTTTTTGCTTTGAAAGGGGAAGGGGAAATGGGAGAAAGGGGTCGTGTGAAGAAGGTAGGTGGTAAGAGTTGGTCCGAATGATTCAATAGGCAAATTGATGTCGAATTTTTATTCGGGTAGGTGTTAAGGGTTTTTTCGAGCGTTTTCTATAGGCGGATTTATGCTGATTTTTTTTATTCGGGCCCCGTACTGAGCATACATTGTATGTTTAGTCCGAAAGGGAGGGTACCCTGAATATCTGTAGGGTTTTGACTGGGGAAAATTACGTATCCCGTGGAACATTGGGAAGTTTCGGCCTAGCGGATTGATTTTCTAGAAGGGTATGATGTATACTTGGGGTAGGGATAGCTACAGCAAGGGCAGTTGGATTAGTTCTGTTTATCTTGTGCTCGGCCGTAAAAGCGCCATTTATGTTGGTATTGTGTTGTTTGAATTGTGTATCGAAACCGAAAATGGCGGATTTATCAGCGAAAACACCTGGATTGGGTCCTGGGTGCTAGTCCGTCTGGAAGGCCGCCGGACTGAAGTCGGCGACACGTGCTGTGCAAAAACAAAAGTTTTCTTTGCAGTACAATTTCTTGCTTTTTTGTGATGGCTTTTCATCGCGTCAAAATTTTTTTTCATAGCGCCAAAAATCAGTCCGGCGACTTCCCGGAAGGACTATTAGCATTTTCGCAAAGTGCCTGGACATTTTTTGCAGTCCGCACCGTGCACAAAAGCCGGCGATTTTTTGCACCGTGCATTGACCTTTCTTTGGTTTTGCACTGTGCATTTGGAATATCGCTGCGACATAAACTTTTCTCAACTGCGCCGCCGCGAGGATTTGCACAGTGCGTTGGCGGCAAAAGTTCAAGATGCGCTGTGCGACAGCGAAAAAATGTCCAGGGACTTTGTGAAAATGCTTGTGTCCAGGCTTCCGCTGGTGGGTAAGCTCCCGGAATCCGCTGGCCCGGTCTTCCAACGCCGTCAGTGCTGCATCCTCTATTTTTGTTCTTCCTATCCGGCCAGCTGCAGAATCATTGTAAATTGGTCAACGGGACGTTTATGGGCCCCCAAACTTCCTCGCAGGTTGCGGAAGTGTTATTCTTTCAGATCGTAACCACCTTTTGTAGAGGTGGTTGCGACCAGTGCAAGAAAATTTAGCAGATGTCAGGCCAGCTTACAATAGTCTAAATGGAACTGTTGCTGAATTTTCATCCAAGACTTGCGCCGGGTCACGTCAATCCAAAATAGAAGAAAAAATTTCCCGCCCCTTTTTGGTGATTCGTCAAAACGAAATGTCACTATCCGATAAAACGCATTTTCTTATCCTTCTTCTTCCTTTTCGAGAAAAAGCAATTATTTCGGGCGAGAAAAAGTGCCGATAATTTCGCGACATTTCGTCCCTCTTTTAAAACCAATGAAAACGATACGAAGTTTCGAAACGGTTCAGGAAATGCGCTGGATTGACGTGCGGGTGACCTTCGATCCGAAGTTTTTCGGGTGAAAGTGAATCATAAAAGGGTATTTGAAACGGAGATTCTGCATTGACTCCTATTCAGAGATTGCCACGGTCAAAATTTCGGCTCCGGCTCTTAGCTCCCAGAGCCGGAGCGAGGCCATGAAAAACTTAAAAAGGTCTGCGGCTTCGAATCCCGGCTCCCGTGCGTTTGGTTTAACAAGATCACGCAATTCCTACTTTTCTGAATGCTGAGAAGCCTGGCTCCGACTTTGGGCTCGGGAGCCGGAGCCAAAATTTCCGGCACCCGGCTCGGAGCCGCCCAGAGCCGGAGCCAACAGCCGGCTACGGAGCCGTGGCAATCTCTGCTCCTATTCTGCTTTCTGTGGGCTGGCAACTTTTCGTCACAAATTCAACGGTTTTTAATGATATAACCCCTGTTGGTCATCTCTTTCACCCTAAGGTGGAGATAGATAAGATTTGGGAGGATGAGATCAATGGAGTAACTTCGGAGGGGTAAATTGTCTGTGCTCTCTATAAATAGTGGGAGTAGTAGAATTTTGGAGAATATATAAACTGAATTGGGCTATGAATAAAATATCAAGTCTAATATCAACAACAACATAATATGGGGGATAATTGAGGGGTAGACGGTTGGGGATAACAATGAACAATCATGGCTAACAAACAGAGTATATTTGGAGATGGGATCCCGGCAGTGAGGCCGCCGACTACGCAAACAAGGTTTGAAAAATAACAAGTAAAGGAGCGGTGGGAACTGAAAAATATTCGAAAAGAGTAACTAACAAGTACAGGAGGATGCTGAGATTCGGGGAGTATATTTCTGTGGGGGTTATTTTGAATGTACATCAGACTGTGGTTCGGCGAGAGCGCTCCCCTTCGGCCGTCGGAACTCGGTATTTTCGTGGAAGACGGCCGTGACGGACGTAGTACCGAGCCTTTCGCGGATTGTCCAGGAGTTCATTTAGGACCACAAGAGCATTGAAAGTTGATTGAGTTATATTGTGAACTCAAAAACGATGAAAATTATATAGCACTTGATGGCTAACATAAAAATTACATCCTTAATATAATTAATCGCCAAATTTTGCTTGCAAAACTGATAGACACTTGATTTTACTTTGATTTGCTTTATGAAAGCGTTTTGGAGCGAATTCGGGGCAAAACTTGTATTATACTTGACATCAGATTGAAAGCTGTCATGTGCAATAAAATCAATATCCCAGTCTAGACATAAAAACACATAAAAGGGCATTTAGGTTACTTCCTCACTTCATATTTGCATTTTGGAACTAATTAAGGCCAAAAATTATATTACGCTTGACATCGGATGTAAAAATGTCACGTTTCCTTACATTACCTATCAAAATGTAATCAATACAATTCCCAACTTCAATCTTAAACTCAAAGCCTTTCCCATTAACATAGAACTCCACGGCGCATGGGGTCTTGTTGAAGTCGGGGCTGGCTCCTTCGCTCCAATCCACGTTGTACATGCATCTGACGGCGCAAAGAGCTCGCATTTGGGAGATAAATCGCTGAAAAAGCCATGATATTACAATTTAAACTCATTGAATTTTCCCGAAATCTACCGTGGATAACCTCCACATCCGAACTTCCAATTGCTTCCCTCTCCAGTCTCGTCGCTGCCCGTTTCGTTGCGAACATTCTCCCGGTGGGAGATCCAGAAGCACATCTGATGGACGGCTTGTTTGACGTCTTTCCTTCACTAGACTTTTAAAAAAAGTGAATTAGTGATGAAAGAGTGAATTGACAAGACATACACCATTCAAAAGCTAATCGCCTGAGATTTTAGCACGGCAAGTTTCAGCTTTTTTGGAATCAAATTACGCCGACACTGGGCGAAAAACTCTGATATTATACTAGACACCGGTTAAAAAAAAAGTGAATTAGTGATGACGGAGTGAATTGACAAGACATACACCATCCAAAAGCTAATCGCCTGAGATTTTAGCATGGCAAGTTTCAGCTTTTTTGGAATCAAATTGCGCCGACACTGGGCGAAAAACTCTGATATTATACTAGACACCGGTTTAAAAAAAAGTGAATTAGTGATGACAGAGTGAATTGACAAGACATACACCAGTCGAAAGCTAATCGCCTGAGAATTTAGCATGGCAAGTTTCAGCTCTTTTGCAATCAAATTACGCCGACACTGGGCGAAAAACTCTGATATTATACTAGACACCGGTTTAAAAAAAAAGTGAATTAGTGATGACAGAGTGAATTGACAAGACATACACCATCCAAAAGCTAATCGCCTGAGATTTTAGCATGGCAAGTTTCAGCTTTTTTGGAATCAAATTGCGCCGACACTGGGCGAAAAACTCTGATATTATACTAGACACCGGTTTTAAAAAAAAGTGAATTAGTGATGACAGACTGAATTGACAAGACATACACCATTCGAAAGCTAATCGCCTGAGAATTTAGCATGGCAAGTTTCAGCTTTTTTGGAATCAAATTGCGCCGACACTGGGCGAAAAACTCTGATATTATACTAGACACCGGTTTTAAAAAAAAGTGAATTAGTGATGACAGAGTGAATTGACAAGACATACACCAGTCGTAAGCTAATCGCCTGAGAATTTAGCATGGCAAGTTTCAGCTTTTTTGGAATCAAATTGCGCCGACACTGGGCGAAAAACTCTGATATTATACTAGACACCGGTTTTAAAAAAAAGTGAATTAGTGATGACAGAGTGAATTGACAAGACATACACCATTCGAAAGCTAATCGCCTGAGATTTTAGCACGGCAAGTTTCAGCTTTTTTGGAATCAAATTACGCCGACACTGGGCGAAAAACTCTGATATTATACTAGACACCGGTTAAAAAAAAGTGAATTAGTGATGACGGAGTGAATTGACAAGACATACACCATTCGAAAGCTAATCGCCTGAGATTTTAGCATGGCAAGTTTCAGCTTTTTTGGTATCAAATTGCGCCGACACTGGGCGAAAAACTCTGATATTATACTAGACACCGGTTAAAAAAAAAGTGAATTAGTGATGACGGAGTGAATTGACAAGACATACACCATCCAAAAGCTAATCGCCTGAGATTTTAGCATGGCAAGTTTCAGCTCTTTTGCAATCAAATTACGCCGACACTGGGCGAAAAACTCTGATATTATACTAGACACCGGTTTAAAAAAAAGTGAATTAGTGATGACAGAGTGAATTGACAAGACATACACCAGTCGAAAGCTAATCGCCTGAGAATTTAGCATGGCAAGTTTCAGCTTTTTTGGAATCAAATTGCGCCGACACTGGGCGAAAAACTCTGATATTATACTAGACACCGGTTTTAAAAAAAGTGAATTAGTGATGACAGAGTGAATTGACAAGACATACACCATTCGAAAGCTAATCGCCTGAGATTTTAGCATGGCAAGTTTCAGCTCTTTTGCAATCAAATTACGCCGACACTGGGCGAAAAACTCTGATATTATACTAGACACCGGTTTAAAAAAAAGTGAATTAGTGATGACAGAGTGAATTGACAAGACATACACCAGTCGTAAGCTAATCGCCTGAGAATTTAGCATGGCAAGTTTCAGCTTTTTTGGAATCAAATTGCGCCGACACTGGGCGAAAAACTCTGATATTATACTAGACACCGGTTTTAAAAAAAGTGAATTAGTGATGACAGAGTGAATTGACAAGACATACACCATTCGAAAGCTAATCGCCTGAGATTTTAGCACGGCAAGTTTCAGCTTTTTTGGAATCAAATTACGCCGACACTGGGCGAAAAACTCTGATATTATACTAGACACCGGTTAAAAAAAAGTGAATTAGTGATGACGGAGTGAATTGACAAGACATACACCATTCGAAAGCTAATCGCCTGAGATTTTAGCATGGCAAGTTTCAGCTTTTTTGGTATCAAATTGCGCCGACACTGGGCGAAAAACTCTGATATTATACTAGACACCGGTTAAAAAAAAAGTGAATTAGTGATGACGGAGTGAATTGACAAGACATACACCATCCAAAAGCTAATCGCCTGAGATTTTAGCATGGCAAGTTTCAGCTCTTTTGCAATCAAATTACGCCGACACTGGGCGAAAAACTCTGATATTATACTAGACACCGGTTTAAAAAAAAGTGAATTAGTGATGACAGAGTGAATTGACAAGACATACACCAGTCGAAAGCTAATCGCCTGAGAATTTAGCATGGCAAGTTTCAGCTTTTTTGGAATCAAATTGCGCCGACACTGGGCGAAAAACTCTGATATTATACTAGACACCGGTTTTAAAAAAAGTGAATTAGTGATGACAGAGTGAATTGACAAGACATACACCATTCGAAAGCTAATCGCCTGAGATTTTAGCATGGCAAGTTTCAGCTCTTTTGCAATCAAATTACGCCGACACTGGGCGAAAAACTCTGATATTATACTAGACACCGGTTAAAAAAAAAGTGAATTAGTGATGACGGAGTGAATTGACAAGACATACACCATCCAAAAGCTAATCGCCTGAGATTTTAGCATGGCAAGTTTCAGCTCTTTTGCAATCAAATTACGCCGACACTGGGCGAAAAACTCTGATATTATACTAGACACCGGTTTAAAAAAAAGTGAATTAGTGATGACAGAGTGAATTGACAAGACCTACACCAGTCGAAAGCTAATCGCCTGAGAATTTAGCATGGCAAGTTTCAGCTTTTTTGGAATCAAATTGCGCCGACACTGGGCGAAAAACTCTGATATTATACTAGACACCGGTTTTAAAAAAAGTGAATTAGTGATGACAGAGTGAATTGACAAGACATACACCATTCGAAAGCTAATCGCCTGAGATTTTAGCACGGCAAGTTTCAGCTTTTTTGGAATCAAATTACGCCGACACTTGGCGAAAAACTCTGATATTATACTAGACACCGGTTTTAAAAAAAGTGAATTAGTGATGACGGAGTGAATTGACAAGACATACACCATTCGAAAGCTAATCGCCTGAGATTTTAGCATGGCAAGTTTCAGCTCTTTTGCAACCAAATTACGCCGACACTGGGCGAAAAACTCTGATATTATACTAGACACCGGTTTTAAAAAAAAGTGAATTAGTGATGACAGAGTGAACTGACAAGACATATACCATTCGAAAGCTAATCGCCTGAGATTTTAGCATGGCAAGTTTCAGCTTTTTTGGAAACAAATTGCGCCGACACTGGGCGAAAAACTCTTATATTATACTAGACACCGGTTTTAAAAAAAAGTGAATTAGTTATGACGGAGTGAATTGACAAGACATACACCATTCGAAAGCTAATCGCCTGAGATTTTAGCATGGCAAGTTTCAGCTTTTTTGGAAACAAATTGCGCCGACACTGGGCGAAAAACTCTGATATTATACTAGACACCGGTTTAAAAAAAAAGTGAATTAGTGATGACAGAGTGAATTGACAAGACATACACCATGCGAAAGCTAATCGCCTGAGATTTTAGCATGGCAAGTTTCAGCTTTTTTGGAATTAAATTGCGCCGACACTGGGCGAAAAACTCTTATATTATACTAGACACCGGTTTTAAAAAAAGTGAATTAGTGATGACAGAGTGAATTGACAAGACATACACCATTCGAAAGCTAATCGCCTGAGATTTTAGCATGGCAAGTTTCAGCTTTTTTGGAATCAAATTGCGCCGACACTGGGCGAAAAACTCTGATATTATACTAGACACCGGTTTTAAAAAAAGTGAATTAGTGATGACAGAGTGAATTGACAAGACATACACCAGTCGAAAGCTAATCGCCTGAGATTTTAGCATGGCAAGTTTCAGCTTTTTTGGAATCAAATTGCGCCGACACTGGGCGAAAAACTCTGATATTATACTAGACACCGGTTTTAAAAAAAGTGAATTAGTGATGACGGAGTGAATTGACAAGACATACACCATGCGAAAGCTAATCGCCTGAGATTTTAGCATGGCAAGTTTCAGCTTTTTTGGAATCAAATTGCGCCGACACTGGGCGAAAAACTCTGATATTATACTAGACACCGGTTTTAAAAAAAGTGAATTAGTGATGACAGAGTGAATTGACAAGACATACACCATGCGAAAGCTAATCGCCTGAGATTTTAGCATGGCAAGTTTCAGCTTTTTTGGAATCAAATTGCGCCGACACTGGGCGAAAAACTCTGATATTATACTAGACACCGGTTTAAAAAAAAAGTGAATTAGTGATGACAGAGTGAATTGACAAGACATACACCATTCGAAAGCTAATCGCCTGGGATTTTAGCATGGCAAGTTTCAGCTCTTTTGCAATCAAATTGCGCCGACACTGGGCGAAAAACTCTGGTATTATACTAGACACCGGTTTAAAAAAAAGTGAATTAGTGATGACGGAGCGAATTGACAAGACATACACCATTGGAAAGCTAATCGCCTGAGAATTTAGCATGGCAAGTTTCAGCTTTTTTGGAATCAAATTACGCCGACACTGGGCGAAAAACTGTGATATTATACTAGACACCGGTTTAAAAAAAAG